GCCGCCGGCCCCGCGCGGGAATAGCGGTCGGGGGACCGAGACGCGCCCAGCCGCCCCGGGACTGACGCCGCGGACCCAAGGACCCGCCACCCTAAAATGCCTAAAGAACCTGAGACTCGCTAGATGGTTCAAGCCATGGAAATGAGGTCATGTGATGACGACTGATATAGAAAATGCAATGCCGAGCCGCGCTCACCAAGCTGGAAATGCCAGAGCAGTCCTGTGACCAGCAGCCTCACAAAGAAACTGCCTGCCAATTCCTTGGGACCCCGGCCTCCTCCTCACACCATAGTTATTTCTAGATTAGCAAAATATTGCATATGAAAACTTAATTGTGCGTGCAAATGAATTTTGTACTTTTATCAAATGTACCTTTTCCATCTTCAAACTAGAGCTATGTACCATGACTCCAAATTCAGCTCAAATTCAAATTAATTTGAGAGATGAGGTTTTAAAACTGTTAATAAGACTTGGTTAGTAATCATTTCAGAAGTTCTTAAAAAATCTAAAATATTTTAAAATTAAATATTTCTTTTCTTTCTTTTTTTAAAGGTTTATGTATGCATACAAGAACTGGGGTACAGGCCAAAGATGGGGGGGGAGAGGGTGAGGACTCACCAGAGACAGAGTGGGGAGCAGAACAGGTGGATCTGCTGAAACACTGCTGGGGGGAGCAGCGGTGAGACAGCTCCCTGGCTGGGGATTGAACTCTCTGGTGCAGTAGCTGTGGATAGCTTCATAGTGCTGAGACTTAACCCCTTGCACCACCAGAAGGCCCTAAAGGTATATTTCCTACTTATAACATATATGCCTTTTTAAAAAATGAAGATGCATATTTCCAAATAGCATTCCTAAACGTAAAAACCATTACTCTTTTCCTGCTCCTTCTGTTTGGCTCCTTTGCCTGAAAAGTTGTCAGGTAGTATCCACAGAAGACACAGTTGTGACAAAGATATTAAATGTCATTCTTTAAAATGGTTGTGTTTATATATGTCCATGTTACATTTTGTGTCTGCCATCGACATGAGTTTATCATTTTCTTTGTTTCTTCCCTCCCAAACAAAACTGACAGAAGGCAGGGCCCGGCATCAGAGGGGACACAGACGAGCAGACTCAGCCAGCATCCTGTCCCTGATTTCTAGCATCTTATAGATTTTAGAATAAGAACATTAAATAGCAGATTTTTTTTTTTTTAACTTTAGGACACAGATACTTTTAGGGTACTGACTAAATAGCTATTTACTGTGTCTAACCTAATGTCTACCACATGGGTACTCAATAAATGAATTTATTATAATTACATCACACCCAGCTGTTGAAGATGCCACCAGCTCAGAGTGGGGCAATCCAGCAGGCCTTCTTACTGGGGCATGCCCCAAGGGTGGACCCTTTATGAGCAGGCGTTAGTCTGAGTCTTTCTCAGACATACAGCAACCACCGTTTCCTCAATTGGAGCACTCAGCTACATCGTGTATAAACCACGCCACATTTTTCGCCCCCCCCCCCCGGTAAAAATGTAAATCTGGTGCCCTCTTTCAAAGATTTTGTGAAAATCTGCATTTCATAGTTACCCCACATGAGAAAAAACAGCATGTTAGAGCTTTCTTCTGTCAGAATAAACTTGCCTGTGTCCCTTCAGCTCAGTGGACAGCTGTTTGCTCACGTGGGACAAAACCAAACAGTGGCAATAGGTTAATGTGTCGCCTCTCAGGAAGGATGTGCATTTAACATTTTACTAGGAATTTCTGAAGTAGTTATCAAGGACAAGGAACAGGTGGGAATTTCAGTACAATCTGCTCTGAGGAAGGCTGCCCTCAGGGGGTGATCTTTCATGGGAGGTGACAGGCTAAGACCCAGAGTATCTGCTCCCCTCTGAGTTAAAGGTGGCAGGAAAATTGTTTCAAATTAAATACATGAAAAATGACAAAAATGTGAATTCCTTAGAAATGAATAAAGTGTTGTTTTTTGAGTTAAAGTTATCTGTATGGTAACTAGACTCACCTCAGGTTAGAAATGCCTTTAAAAATAGACTAAAAATACAGGAAAAAACATTCTTCTAAACCTTTCTGTTATCATAAATCAGGCATTCTTCACTCAGAGCTTTCCTTCCTGCATTTGTTTCATACATACAATGGACCCCACACAGGAACACATCATTGTTCATATGAAAATGTGTTCCACATCACATGACAAAAGTAACCAATGTCTACAGGAGCACTCGCTTGTTTCCTGGACTAGCTCTTCTCTTATGTACAGTGTGGTGGCCCAGATAGTTTCTGCGACTGGAAAAAATCGTGGAATTTGGAGCCAATCATACTAGATTAGAATCTAATTTCTTTCAGCCACTAAATTTGGTTGTTTAGAAAGCCATTCAAAACAATTAGTTACTGGGTACTTATGTGATGAATACAAGGCAAATTTAGAAAGTGAAACACATTCCTGTATTCACTGCATCATTGTTTACAACAGCCAAAAATGGAAACTGTCTAAGTGCCCACAGGTGGGTATGGACAAAGATTTGGTGGATAGACATAAGGGAATAATTCAGCTATAAAGTAAAATGCAATCTCATCATTGTGACAACATGGGTCGACCTTGAAGGGATTATGCTAAGGGCATAAATCAGATGGAGAAAGAAAATGTCACATGATTTCACATATACATGGAAGATAAAGAAACAAAGCAAATCAACAAACAATGCTGAGCCTCAGACTCTTCAGGTCCGGTAACAGAATGGTGGTTACCAGACAGGAAGTGGAATTAGGGGGCGGGGTGAAGGGGCCAAGGAGTCCGGTGGTGGGTGGGAACTAGGCGTTGGTGCCGATCAGGATGTTGTGTATACAGAGATGCAAGCACAGTTTTATGGCTGAAACTCGGTAGTGTTATAAATCAAAGTTACCACACTCAAAAACCAGTTTGTTTTCTTATTAGTGATATGGAAATGATGAAAATTTTCCCACATAGGACCATCATAATAGATAATCTAAACCTATTTTGTAGACTGTTTTAAAACCATAAAACAGGTGTCTCCCTTGTGGTGCAAGGGGTTAAATCTCAGCACTATGAAGTCTTCAGCAGGAGTTCAAAATCCCTGGCCAGGGAGTGACCCTCGGGTGCAGCAGACCTCTCCTGTCTCCCCGATGTTCCCCTCAGCAATGTATTTCAGTAGATCCACCTGTTCTGCTCCCCACTCTGTCTCTGGTGGGTCTTCTCATACCCCCACACCTCTTCCTACACCCCAGCTCTTGTATGCAAAATAAAACAAACAAACAAAAACCATGAACAGTAGTAGTGATAAGTATATTCCAAATCAGATGAAAAATCATTTTCTGTACTATGGTGGAAAATTATTAGGACAAAATTCTGGAGCTTATAAAATGGGATAAAGATTGTTTCAAAGTAAATTTGCAGTACATAATCAAATTCATGCATAGAGTAAATGACTTCAAATATAAAATGGTAAGTGATACACTGGGCATGGAATTGCAGGAATTGCATTTGGAATGGGCAGTGAGAATTGACTTCCTGAGAAGGCAACGACTGAATATTCTGAGAACCTCACTAAGATACTCGGTTTGGAAAAATATTTTTCAGCTCTTCTGACAATAAAGTTAGAGAAATAAGATACCCTCTCCTCTTCCCTCCCCCTGATAGCCTGACCACTTTCATAATGCTGACACAGTCCCCAGTGAAAAGAGTAAACGTGACCCACATGGAAATTGAGAGCTCAGGAAAAGAAATCCACAGCCAAGTGTCACTTGGCTCACACTCTCAAGGCCTATGACCAGTGAGACCAGGGCTCCCAAGGCGGTCCAAGGCCTTAGCTTATGAAGGCAAAGGAACAAGGAAAAAGACACACTAGACATGCAGAAGATGCTTCTGGCACCATCTGGACATAAGCAGAACAGACAACATGGGGCCATGCATTGCTTTCAATGAAAGTGGCCGAACTGACCTAGATATGAAAGAGCAGATGATTTTCTTAATCAGAAATATTCTCTCTTTTTAAAGAGGACAATCAAAGCAGTAAGGCTTCCAGCACCGGAGTTTCTTGCAACATTAAATACAAGGAGCAGGCCATGGTTGTGTATTAACCATGAGGACCCTGGCCACAGGGGACAGTCACTGGGTCCTGTTCACAATCACGCATCAATTGTGAAGAGGAGGAGATTCATGTGACGGGGTCTTTAAAAAGATCAGCAAAAAGAGCCTGCAAAATGCAAAAAAAGCCCTGGTGGTGCAATGGCTTAAAGCGCAGCACTATGAAGCCCTCCACAGCCGCCGCAGCACCAGCTCGATTCCCAGCCAGGGAGCTGACCCACATGGGGCAACAGACCTCTCTTGTCTCCCTGCTGCTCCCCTCTGCAGTATATTTCAGGAGAGCTACCTGTTCTGCTCTCCACTCTGTCTCTGGTGAATTTTCTCCCCTGCCCAACCCTCTGGCCCATATCCCAGTTCTTATATGCACAAATATATAAATATTTTAAACAAAATGCAAAGGCAGGCAAACAGCCTCCTTGAAAACTGAACACATTAGGCGCTGGACAAGGAGAACCTTTCTCTTTCACGTGCGAGCAACCACGGGGCCTGACGGGATCCACCCTGAGCTTCCCCACAGGCTGTCTCACCTCGTGCCGAGAAATCTGGGCTTGCAGCTCCTGGATGTTGCTGGTGGTCACAGGCTTGTCCTCGATCTCTCTGTGAGCTCCTTCTATCAGCTCCTGCAGCCGCTGCATTTCTTGTTCATATTGTTCATACTGCACCACGGCCTCCTTCGCAACAACACAAGCAAAAACACACGGTCATCTTTCCAGAGGAGGGTCAGCGTAAACCGAGCTGTATGGCCTCTGCCAAGCTTCCCGCTCCCTCCTGGCACTTGGTTTCGGGGACGGATGAGATGTGGGCAACACCTCGAGCAGGAGACAAAGCCTCCATATCATGCAGATATTTCAGCAAAAATATTTTATAAAATGATCAATGGATGCAAAAGAGTGGGGTTATTCAGCCCCTCTTTATTCACATCACCCTGAAGGTGGCAACATATGGGTTGGCACTTGTTGGCAATACATGGGTTGGCACTTGAGGAGAAACTATGAAATCCTAAGCATTTCACTGAGCCAGCTAAGAAATACCGAAAATATACTTGAGACACTCAACTCCACTGGGAACAGGGGAAAAACAGGGAGTGTCATTTTCAGCCTCAGGAATAAACGAAGGGATTGCAGGCTACTGCAGAGTAGGAGGAGAGTTGACCCAAAAATTAGCAATTTAATGGGAGGCAAGTATGCAATTTTTGGAAAAAGCAGCTGAAAGACTAACTCAAAGAGGACATGAGTTAAATCATGTCATTTCTTCCCAGTGATTTTTCTCTTCTTAGGTGAAGAGACTGGGTGGGACACTTGGGTGTATTTCTCAGGCAAGAAAATGCACTAATGCATGGTGAGGAAAAATAGTTAAAAAAACAAAAAACTCTGCAATATAAGCTAAGAGCACAGTCCCCTTAAGAGCTTCCAGATGGTCCTCAGGTGAATGAGGAAAAGTAAAAAAATAGATGACTGATAATCAAATTCATCCTCAGAGGTTGTTCTTTACTAAGGAAGAACTCACTAAAGGATTTCACCACAGGTATTTTTATGGAGATTCCCCCGGGCTGCTGGGGGTGTGTTCATCTTATTTTACATAACCACAGCAACCTGTCACATTCAACACTCTGGATGTGTTTGTTGGCTGCACCCACACCCGGCTAAGAAAAGCAGCGGGTGACTCAGAGCCAAGCCAGCCCCCTTGGGAGGGCAGCGGCGCGTGCCTGCATGACCGTGCACTGCTGGATGGCGGTGTGCTGCAGCCGGCTGGCTTCCTCCTGCAGGCGCAGGGCGGCGTGGCAGAGCGGCAGGCCCGCCACCTCCTCTTCAGGGATCCGGAGCGCGCTCTGGCAGGCCTGCACCGCGTGAACCTTTGGCTTGAGGGATTCCATCTCTGACAACAAGTGCTGAAAGTGCAAGTTCACATTTCAAAATTGTACCTTAAAAGAGTTTACTTCGTGGGCCCTCCCTGGTGGCGCAGCGGGTTAAAGCACAGCACTGAGAATCTAAAGCTGCCTCTGCATGAGTTCGATCCCCGCCCGCCCCGGAGGTGACCACATGGCGCGGCAGACCTCTCCTGACCTGCCCGCTGCTCCCCTCAGCAGTGTACCTCGTCAGTCTACCTGTTCTGCTCCCCGCTCTGTCTCTGGTGAAGCCTCTCACTGCCCCTGAGCCTCTGGCCTGCACCCCAGTTCTGTATGCACAAATAAATAAATCTTTAAAAAAATAGCTTACTTTGTAAGCAAAAGGCATTTAAGAAAGAAGAGCTCTTGCTATTCGGGACAACTAGATGGAACTGGAGGGGGGTAGATGAAGAAGGAAGGCTGCGGAGAACCGCGAATGCAGGATAATTTTACTCGTGCAGAGAGTATAAAGACAAACCCAGGCAAACCTGGGGAAGAACTGAGGTTTCCACAAGGGGAGGGGAGGAGAGGGGACGGGCAAGGGGTTGGGGGGGAGGGGCCAACCTACCCTGGTGGAGGGTAGTGGGGGCTTCCGTGGTCATGTGGCACCATAACACACATCACAGAGATGTGAACCTGCACCCCTAAAATACTGGGTTGTATTGCAAAGTTACCTTAGTAGACATAACTTAAAAACAATTTCAATGGTAAACATTTAAGTGATAGCTTAGAAATTAGACATTTTCCATAAAAGATTAAAATAACGTCTAAAGGGCTAAGATGATAACGGATTTTAGAAATCACTTTTCCTAACTAGCCTCTTTGTTAAAATATGGGTCCAGGGTCCTCCCTGGTGAGGCAGCGGGCTAAAGCACAGCACTAAGAAGCTAAAGCCACTTCAGCATGAGTTTGAACCCAGCCCACCCGCCCAGAGATGACCCACATGGTCCTGCAGACCTCTCCTGACCCACCCGCTGCTCCCCTCAGCAGTGTACTATGTTGATTTGCCTGTTCTGCTCCCCACTCTGTCTCTGGTGAATCCTCTCACAGCCCCTGCACCTCTGGCCTGTACCCCATATCTGTAAGCATAAATAAATAAATCTTAAAAAAAAAAAATGAGTCCCCCTGTCTGTCTTGAACTTCTATTTACCTGCCGGTGAGAAAGTTGCTCCTTGAGACTCAAGCATCCAACTTCTGGAGAAGTCAGAGTGGTTTGGGCTTGCTTTAAAGCAGCTTGTAAATTTTTCAGCTCGGTTTCAAATTTTTTCATATCCTGGCAAGTCAAAGCAAGATGAATGTCAATATGTTAAGGGGAAGGATGTCTTAAAGGAACTCTGCAGAGTTTTGTGGAACCCACCCCCTACCCCAGCTTTCTGGGTTCCAACCCCCTACTCCAGTGATTGGAAACTACAACTCCCAGCAGCACCAGGGAGAGAACTGCGAGGACCCAAGGGCGGAGCTAGCAAGCATTCTGGGGCATTGGGGGATAAATAGGGCGCCATTACCCAACGCTCTCTCACTCAGGCAATGGCTCTCTGGACCCAGTGACTGGGTGCTATTAATTAGTTTGTTACCAGAGCTCCAAGACAGCTGAGCTGGTAAGATATTCTAGTCGCCTTGTATCTCTTTCTTTCCCTGGGTTGTTTCCTTTTCTTTTCCCCTTTTATAAATAAACCCATTATTGACCCTTTTGTGTGCGCCTGCTGTACAACTGAATTTTAGGTGCACGGGTGAGGCCTCACAAACAGGCGGCCCAGTTCACACTGGGGTGCCCTGTGACAAATAAATGACACTTGTGGCCCAAAGTCATGGCTGATGACAGACAGAGGCAGGAGCCAGCTCGGCACCACCGGGATTTGTTTTAACAACACACAGGCTTTTCCAATTAAATTGTTTTTTAATTGTTTCACCTTGGCAGCATCATGGAGATTCTGCAAACGAGTTTTGATCATCTGCCGCAGCTCCTCGGTCTCCCGCCCCAGTTCTGTCACTTGCTGAGACATTTTTTCTGTGCAGTACACACTGCCGAGGCATTGCAGTTTCTCAGTCATTGCTTCCAGGTCACTGTGAATGTCTTCAGATTCTTCCAGCATGGTCTAAAATGAATTGTCAATATTCATGACATTTGACAGGAAGGGAGAGAGGGGTGTAACTACCATGTGTGTGGAGTAACTGCAAATGTCATGTGCAGTTAGTTCCTGAGGGTCTAATGGCATTGAACTTCCACATTCCTGGCGCTCTCCACCTTCTGTGATCCCCACTTCACAGGAAAAGAAGCTGAGATAAGAATAAACAATTTACAGGGGCCACAGGCCACCACCTGGGTTGAGTTGCAAACAAGCCTCACACTGTCCACAACCTGTAGGGTAGTGAAAATCTGCACCCCAAATCTGTCTTTGGCAAAAGGCTGATTTCATGGGAGGGACTCTGAAGGCTGGGTGGAAACTGCTTTGATATTTATCTGTAAACTCCTCTTTGTAAGGGCCTCTCCCAGGAAGAGCTAATCTCCTCATCTATTTTCAAAGAAGACAGGCAGAACTGAAACCTATTTTCTTGATAGACTCCCTAAATTTTCCTTTCCTTCCCCCAACCCACCTTCCCCTAGCTAGTTAAGATAGGGTCTGAAGCCAAGCAGGTAAGTCACTTCGTTTTGCTGGGTCCTTCCCTTGGATACAGGAAGTACACATGTTATTATTAAACTTCTGCTTTGGTGTTTTTCTCTTTTCAGTCTGTCTGTAGCTTGTATGACTATTTGCCAGCCTGGAAGATCTCTGAGGGGTACAGGATGATTTACTCTGTGCCGCCACACACCTCATCATCCCCTGGCCATGCTCCAACATGTGGTGACCACTGCTTCCCTGATTTGAGTAAGCGATGCTTTCTAGTCTCATAATGTGTACTTGTAACCTAAGAGCATACTGACCTAGGAAATGGAAATATAACAAGCGTGTGACAAATAAAGCCTTCCACCACTGGCTTTCTGTGACACAAGGGAAGAGAAGCTACTTGGGATACCAAGAAGAAGAAAAACAGCCCTGGTCATTCGGGAAAATGCCATCTATCGGGACAAATGAAAGTGGACATGGATAGATGAGTCTACTATGCTATGAGTGAAAAGCAGAATGGAAGAGAAGGCTGAGGGATGCAGAAGTGAGACAGGCTAGGAAGTCAGAGTAAGGCTCCGTGGAAGAGACAGAGGATGTTTGCTCTTGGGCAGCTGGTGAGGAAGAGGAACAGCATAAACCAAGGCACAGAGGTGGGTGAGCTTAGAGAATGGGATATGGGATTGGTAAAGAGGCAACAGGCCCTTAGCTTTAAAAATAAAGCACATGGTTGTCTTCCCATGAACATTTTATACTGGAAAAGACTGGAAGGAAAAGAAAGATATTCCATAATCCCATACCTCAAAAATATCACTTAGTAACAGGTCATGTTTGGGTTTATTAGTGTGTGTGCAGTAGCATACCTCCAATTTTCTGTCTTTTCCCCCTGACATTAGAATAGATGCATTTTCTATCTGTGTCCTGTTCTTGATAAACTCAGGCTGCTTTAATTCCCAGGTAGACACAGAACCCTATGAAGAAGTGTTTACAGGCTGAGTAATTCCTGAGTGTCTGTGTGAGACCATCACCAGTGCCTGACTCTGTCTTTCCGGGCCCTTCCACACACACACAACCACCCAACCCCACAGAACCCTGGGAATCAGCCCTGGCTCCCCCCCATCTCACCTGCACCCAACAGTCTCCAAGCCTGCAACGGTAGTTCAAGCCTCCCCTTGATTCCGTCTTCTCTCAGCCTGACCAGAAAGGTCCTGCTGCTTCCTCCTGGGTCTGAAACTGCCTCCTGTGCCAATCAGTTTACCGTCTTACCTTCATCACGCTGGTTTCCAATGGCTGACCCTGTCCTTTCTTCAACACAAGCCTGAGCTGGCCATCTGCCTGCAGAATGTTTGTCAAGGACTTCAGGGTGACGTTTAGGATAAAGTCCAAGTCCTTAGTCGGCTTTCAAGTTTAGTCTTTCTTATCTCTCTCTTCTTATCTCTTCGGCCTCTTTCCAGCTCTCCTCCAAATCTCCCCACCTCCCTGCAAAACACCTCCCTGCAAACTCCCGTGCTCTAACTAATGGGATAGCTTTTGTCTAAAACACATTCACAACAAGTAGGCTGTGTATTTTTAGGAAGTGGCCCCAAAACACATTTTCCTAAGGTTTCCCCCAACCTTCCTCCACAGCAGTGGCAGTCAAACTGGGCCTCATTCTGGAATCTTAGGTGCTTAGGTCCTTCTGCTGGGTAAAGCCTGCTCTTCCCACACTACACTTTCTGCAATTGTCTAGATCCGATTTTCTGTCCCTTTACTTATCAACTCCCTGAGGCAGGATCAGGGAATATTCAGTGCATTCCAAATGCCTAGCATTCCCAACTTTAGAAAGTATAAATGCTTGTTGGACAAATAAATGGAATGAGAGCTGGAACTGTTTTTACAAAATGGTCATTGAAGGAATCCACTATCTATAAGACATCCAAAAATTTATTCAGGAAAGTTATTTGAAATTCCACTGTTATTAATACTGCATAAAAGATTTCTACATGTAGGTGTAATTTTGATATTCATGATAAATTTTGCGAACCATTTTGCAAATTTTACCAAGTTACCATCAATGATTGAGAGTTCACACCCCTTTGAATGTTACTTGTTTAAATGGGATTTACTTGATAGTTAAAATACTCTTTTTTAAATTTACATTTTCTAGGCTTCTAAGGAGATTAAATATGTTTTTCAATGTTTATAACCCATTGTCACTTATGTCTTCTCTGTTAGGTCTTGTCTGGATAATACTGAGCCAGAAGCAACACTGGAGCTGTTTAAGAATGACTTCCTGAGAGAAGTGTGCAAGATTGGTAAAGGAGGAAAGATTTGAGATTCAGGAAGACCAGTGAGGAGCCTGGGAGGCATTTCAGTAAACAGAAAATGAAGCTTTGATCAGTAACCCTGTCTACTAACATGGAAATGGATAATTTAGAAGATGGGAGTGTACACAAATCACAATAAAATAAATCTAAAATACTTGAGCATAGCCATGCAGCTAGAAGAAAAGTCACACTATATTTTGATTGCAAGATAACTGGAATATTTGGAGCTCTGCATCTAATTCAAGACTAAATGATAGAAGGATGACATAATTTCCTGGATGACCTGACCGACATTGAACTTCAGAGGAAATGCAGTAATGAGGCCAGTGTGTGGTGGGGACAAAGGGCTGGTTCTCATGGCAGGTGAACTGTGCAAAGCCAGACCATGGAGAGTGAGTGGAAGGTGAGGTAGGAGGAAGCTTGAGAGCTTGTGCTGGCACCTGCCTGCCAGGTAATATGCTTTGCTATTTACACTACATTCACCCACTTGATCCTTGTAATCCATTCTGCAATATAAATACGGTTTCCGTTGCCATGTCCTTAATGAGAAGAATGAATTGAGAGAAGCAAATTAAGTTGCCCCTAATCACAGCACTAAATGGCTGAGCTTGGTTTCCCATGAGTCTGGGTTTATAACATATCATCTTTCTGTAAGTCACTATTCTCCCTGTCCCCACATGAGTTTCAAGGAAGTAGAAAGAAAACAAACAAACAAAAAAAAGTAAAACTGATTTGGTCCTTAGAGAAAGAAGGTCTAGGGGAGATAAGGATATTAGGGGGAGAGGGTCCGATGAAATCTCTGGTAGCTGCTTTCTTTCAGATCACCCCACGAGTCGTTATGGTGACCTTGGCTTTCTTTTTACCTGGCATCCACCAGAATTTGACATCGTGGTCAGCTGAACTTTCTGTCAGTCTAGCCAGTTAACCTAAACTGCTCTCTTGGTTCCTTTGAAAGCCATATTCTTCAAAGTTACCTGATGTGAAGTATATTGTTCCCGAAGTTGGCTTGCAGAATTCCAAGCAATCTTGCCATGTACCAAGACTTTCGCTTTCTCCATCCACTTTAGAATTAACTCAAGCATTTCATTGTAATCTTCTAAATGTGATGCCGCCTGAAAAATATTCTACTTCAGTTAAAGCAATCTGCCTTTTTTGAGTCAGAAATTAGTTTTCTACCTCTCTCTGTCGCTACAATAATCCTAGCAGTTGGTTGATATAATATCTAATATTTAAGGTATCATGAAAAATAATTTTCTTGCTGAAAATCAGTCAAAGACTTGCCAGTTATTTTAGGATGAAGACCAAACACTTCGGTATCATGTAATTTGTTTCATTGAAGTAATAATTACGTTATAACATTCTATTATGTTACAGGGATGTATCATTGAGAATCCACATATGTGTATACTCTATTAATTCAAGTTCTTAATATATTTGAACAATCTATCTTTTCAACAATCTCTATTCTTACTGCTTGTTCCTCATCTAACTCCCCCCTCTCTCTCCCTCCTTATGCTGAACCCATTGAGTAGGGAAGCAGTAGGTTGAGGTAATTGCAAGTCAGGTTTTAAGATTTTTAAATAGCTTGTCCCTGATCACAGAAAAAAAAACCAAAAAAACAATTTGCAAAATGTTCTGAAGACTTTGCAGCTTGAACCTGCTCAATCTATACAAGTTTTAATGTGTATGTGTTTATATATACAATTATTTATCTATTGATACTATTTATTCTTTGTATATGTAACATATATAAATAGAAATGTATATGTAAAACTTTCTTTAAAACACTTGAATTTACCCCAAACTGACTGACTTATCCTAGTAGGGATAATTATTCATTTCACAACATCCTTCTCCAGTTTACAAAATATTCATTCCAAAATCCATTTGCATGACTCTATTTGTGAATGAATTTATAGCACGTTTTACATAAAAAGAGAGGCAGGTTTGTGTGTCAGTCTTAAGAACACAGGTGTGATTTGAGATCAGATACATTTAAATTATTTTTGTCCTTGTAAATAGTATTGATTCAATTATTTTCAAAAGACCAAAGCAGAACGTTGACGTTCAGCCTTCGAGGAGTTTGGCTACAGCCTTGACAACGTACCTGACTGAGATTGGCGTGCCGGCTCTCGGCCTGTCGAATGGTCTGCTGGTGCAGCTCCGCCACCTTTCCTATCTTCTTGGCCAGAGGCTTGCCCAGCTGGCCATTCTGCTCCGAGAACTTCTGCACTGCTTCATGGAGCTTCATTAACTTTGCATTGCAGTCATCTAGCTCCCCTCCCAGCACCTGCATGGCCGTCAACAAAATAGAGCTCCAGTGTAATTTTTCAGACTTTCCAAGATCGGCAGAGTGATACTTTAAACGATTTTTGTAAAAGCTAAATATTATAAAGAGCAATTCTACAGTGACCAGGTCACTTCGGCTTCTTCAGTTGGAAAGGCAGAACGGGATGTTTTGTAATGCTGGTGATCATTTCCTGGGGTTGATCAACAGCTAATATTTTCCTTCTTCCACACCCAAAAGGGATTAGTCACTTCACTCATCACTGAGCGAGACCTCAGATGTAATCACCAAGAACATCCTTTATTTTGGAATTTATAAACTTGTATTCCTAAATCACTATTAAGTCTTTTGATTAAGTCCATCCCTTCTTACCCACCCATGCTTGTATATTTATTAATATAGTTCAATGTTGATGAGAAATTCATGGTGGGAAATAGATTCAGATTATGATTACTTATAACACTCCCCTCCTGTGTGCTTTTATCTGGTTTTAGTAAAGCTTGATAATTAAGAAAACTTTCTTCCCGGTACTCCCAAGCTATCAATAACTCTGAAAATATTGAATTCATTTAGTTGCTCCCCTCTGTTTCTGCCTCTTTTGCCTTACCTTTTGCTCAGCTTTTGCTTGAGCTAAATTATCAGTCTTTGCTCTCAGCTTAGTTAGAATAGTTGTGAGGTCTTTGGCTATCGTCTGAATTTGCCGGTTGAAGTCTTGGCTCATGATCTTGCTCTGCTCAACTTCTTTTACTTTGTCCTGGATCTAAATAATCATGAAAATAGCAAAATCGGTCAAAAACCAAGAATAACCTTGGATAATGGATGCTAAATACGTCATCTTGACATATTGTCATCTGTATTGACATTGTAATGATCTTGGCAGATGGAAAGGTGGAGCAATAGAGATAGACAAAAGACTCACAAAAAGGTAACAGATAGGAACCTGGTATGTGGAGAGAGCTCAGGCTAAACTAATTACAAGTGGCCCTGTAAGATACCTTTGAAAAGGCACCAAAGTTGAAGCAACTGAAGATGTTCGTTAATGCCATGCCCGAGGTTTTGAAGCCTTCGCTAGAATTTCCTAAGAGAAGCAAGGGACTCTCATCCTAGGAAGTGGCTGGATTCTTAGAACTCTCCAGACCTGGTCCCACCAACTCTTCATAGCCAGTCTCCCAAACTTTGCCAAGAGGTTTGTTACCTTCTCCCTTTTTGTTGCCAATTTAATTGTATGCTTATATTATTGTATTGAGGATTCTCACCACTAAATTTATGTTGGGACTTGAATCATGAGTAAAAACTTCCCTCTTCAAGGAAGCTATTACTCTAGAGATCCCAAATTGAAAAAAACAGATGTTCACGAGGTTCCCTTTCTCCAAATATCTTCGCCTATGTTTATCTTGCTGAAATACAACCTCTACTACAAGTGTGCCTCGCCGATTCTGGATAATCAATGAATATTTGCTGAACACATGAAATAAATCTTAGTTCTTTTGTTTCTTTAAGGCATATTTGTTAAAGGTGAGGAGAAGCTGGGATGTTTCCTTTAATTTATGACATTATTTTGCACATTGCTGATTATCTGAATTTTCATACATACAGAAAGAGCTCTAATGTAAAATTCCTTTATGCTGGTTTTTCACTCTGTTTCCATTAAGGTCTGATTGTAGGAATCAGGAACTTTCAAACAAGGGTATTAAGCCCTCGAAAGAAGTGATGACCCCTTGGGCATAATTTTACCTGGTCATGGGTAGTTCCTAAGTCCAAGGCCACTTCTGCTAACTGAAGGGAAAGGTCTGAAGGTAAAATGGTACCAAGACCAAAGTACTTATTCTTCTGTTCTTCAGCCATTTTCTCAATGTTCTGTCGGTGACTTGTGACTTCTGTTAGGAGACTCTGAAGATAAATAATCAGAAACTTCTGAGTGCCTGAGAAGAATTTGATTTTTATGGGTAGAGAGATGAGACTGTAATATTCATCAATCTGTGATTAAGTGTGGAGTTAGAGAAACCCCTTCATAAAACACAAACTAAATTAAAATTATAAATTTAGTCTCTGAATAAGAAATATGTCTATCTTATAAAGAACTAAAGGAAATCCTATGAATCCTAAAAATCTATTGTAGGACATGACAATTTTGACAAATTTTAATTCAGTATTTCATTAGATATAAACAAATGTGTCTGGTTAAAACCAGGATTCTTTTGTTTTCAAATAGTGGGTGTAGAGAATGAGGAGAGTTTGGTACCTTAAATTCCTTAAGTTGAGCATCTATTTCTATTGTTGGATTCACCAAATACTCCTTCGTTTCCCGAACCCACGATTTCACAGAGTTGATTTGCGTTTCCACCACCTCTCGCTCTTTCAGCTCCTGCTTGACGGCCTTCCCACTGCTCTTCACCTTCTCCTGCATGCTGCAGAGCAGGGAAAGGAGGAAGCAGACGTGGGTCAATGAAAGCAAAATAAGATTAACCTTCTACCTCTTTTTTTTTTTCTGAAGGTTCATTTATTTATTCATGCACACAAGAACTGGGGTGCAGGCCAGAGGTGTGGGGTGTGAGAAGATTCACCAGAGACAGAGTGGGGAGCAGAACAGACAGATCTAGTGAAATACACTGCTGAGGGGAGTAGTGGGCAAGACAGGAGAGGTCTGCTGTGCCATGTGGGTCACCTCCCTGGCCTGGGATCGAACTCATGCTTCAGTGGCTGGAGACAGCCTCACTGTGCTGTGCCCTAACCCACTGCACCATCAGGGAGGGCTCTAACCTTCTGTTTCTAAGTTCATTATGTGTAAATGGCTATTATTCATTGGTCTTGGGTTTCACCCTTGCTAATCGCTCTGCCATCTATATAGTTTACCCAGTGAGTTACTGAGTTTACCAAAACTCAGTTCTAAGGAGCTCTCAATGTTAGACCTTTCCAGCTTCATTTCTCAAGCACCTCCCCATCTCCCACCAGTTCCCTGAAGTGACAGGCTTCCTCCCAAGTTTTGTTAGAAGCCAGTCCAGTTTGCAAAACTCTCCTCCCACCCCACTGCATGGCTCAGGCCTACTCCATTATCAGCTGGGATATTCCTTCTGGATGGAACCTGTTTTAATTCCTCTCCTACGTGAGTTGTCTCTGCTTTGGACTCCTTTAGCATGGCCAGCACCCCCTACCTGACTGACTTCCTCCCCGAACAGCCCAGACCTTAGGAATACACATGCCCTGCTGGGTCACGATCAGTTTAGTGACAGGGATGAGAGCAGCTGTGTCATTACTTTAGGCACTGAGCCTGCATTGCCGTGATTTTCTGCAGGCTTGGTGGCTCTTCTCCTGGGGTCTGGGGGGCCCCGTCCCGAAGGATGCTCAGTGCCTGCTGCCGCAGCATGCCCAGAGCTGACTGTTGATGCTCCAGCTCCAGCATGAATGTGTCATGATAGTCGAGAAGAGTTGAAAGCTCTGCTTTTGCGGCTTTCTCTGTTGAACTTCCTGGAAATTTGTCTTGCAGCTGATCCATCATTTCGTTAGCTTTTTTAACCTGATGACAAATGAACAGATTATGAAATTCAACAAATAAAATTAGAAAATAAGGCAGTCCCTGTACATCTTGCATTTGACACGAATGCATCAAAGTGTGTTAAAGACGATGGTGTGGACGCCAAGATCAGTGAACTAAAACGGGAACAATCTCCTCAACACGTGGGAAAGGTTACCTCCCTACGTGTAGGTTCCATAACACAGAAAAAGCTTGTTTTATTTCAAAGACAAATAAACTCTAACCAGGGGGCGCCCAAGCCTCACATCTCTTAGACTTGCAGTTTCCCCACACCCCAAACAAGACCAAACAAAAGAGTGCTCTCTTTCCTCCCCCACAGCCAAATTTCCCCATGAGGCCAACGAACCAGAGGGCTCCAATCCCTTTGTGGGTGCCAAATCTGTGGCAGGGCAGGGAAAGGGGCACCCCAGAACCCCCAGGCAGGCCAGCTCTAAACCAGTTCCACTGACTACAGCCCCAAGACTAAACAGGGAAGACCTTTTCTGGGGAGGAGAGAGCAAGACGATGGGTGTGCGTGATACAGAAGAGACAGACTATAGACCTTCTCCAGCAACCGCCCAAAGTCTTCCATCCCCTCGTGGGGAAAAGCCCACTCCAAAGTGATGGGCCGGGAAACCCACCACAGTCTAAAGCATGTCCAGACATGCCCAGCAAAGCCCAGGAGGAAAAGAGCAAAAAATAATTAAATAAATAAATAAGTAAAATAAAGGGAGGCATGGGTTAAAAGATCCTCCCTACTTAAAGAATGGGAGGATTAAAACGAGGATTTGGGCAGGAAATGAACCTGCGTTTCATTTCATGGCAAAGAAAAGTGTTCTGTACATCAGAAAGTTTCACTGGTTGCCTAGCCAGTGGGCAAAACCTAACCTCCTCTCAAAACTGAGTTGCTATGTAAAGCAATTAAAATGTCACCTCATTAAAACAACTGACCCTGACTCGGGACTAAGCTGAACATTGCGTTTTGTATTTTGCCTAATGATTTGGTTTTCCTGCTCCTGAGACACAGGAGGCTTTTACTGGTGCATAGCCAGCTTCAGAAGGAAACACGCTGCTTCTCTAAGTACACAGAAGCAGAGGGAAACAAAAGACAGCACATCCCAGAGCAAACCACCTTCTGGGTAAGGCTCCTCCACTCCTCCACTGCGTCTTCCAGTATCTTCTCCTGGTCCTGGGCCACCGCACGGAGACGTGCCCAGCGCTGCCACACGCTCGTCATCGACCTGCTGATGGTTGCCTTGCTGGCATCGTTGCCAGTTTTTTCCAGTTGCGAAGCTTTATCTTCTAGGACCACAATTTTCTCATGGAAAGAGTTAACAATCGGCACTAATGCCTGGATGGAGTAAGGGGAACAGAGATAAGGGGGAAAGACTGAGCGCTCAACGTTCTATGCATCTTGGTGCAGCCCTGTGTGACCTGCAAAACAAATGTTTCTCTACAACTTTATTTTCCTCTGGCATCCTACTTGTCTTTTTTTTTTTTTTTTAAAGATTTATTTATTTTTGCATAGAACAATTGGAGTATGGACCAGAGGTGTGAGGGGTGGGAGGATTCACCAGAGACAGAGTGGGGAGCAGAAGAGGTGGATCGACTGCAACCCACTGCTGAGGGGAGCAGCAGGGAGACATGTGGGTCAGCTCCCTGGCAGGGGATTGAGCTCAAGCCACATAGGTAGTAGTGCTGAGGTTTACCGCCTAGGCCACCAGGGAGGGCCCTGGTCTCTTAGTTTTTATACTGAATTCTTAAATGGAAATTTTAAGGAGGTGAATACGTATTTAAAATGTTTCATTTGCTCCTCACCATGATATTGTTCCTTGTTAAGAAGCAACAAGTTACAGTGATAATATACACAGTAAAAAATACAGGTGGACTGAATTTGATACTGACGTATATTATATTTGACATAGTAGAGCTATGGCACATGAGGGAGGCTCAGTGATTACTTTCTGAATTTTATTTGAATTAATCTAAGTTAACACAAGAAAGAATATTAAAATTACTTCGTATCACACCTTACCAGAAGCAAGTCGCTAAGAATGTCACTTTTGAAACCCAGGGATGCCTGGCCACTGGGAGTCACCAAAATGTGAAGCATTATGTGAAAATTGCTACAAAATGCACCCTCATATTTAAGGAGCCTAAGTACAAAGGAAGACCTGATGAGCTCTTTCTGGAGCTCATATTTCCAAGACCTCTTGTACTTATAATTAAGTATAGTAAAGGATATTAAAAAGAAAATGGCCATAACCCAACTAACCTTGTGTTCTGACAACTTTTCTTCTGCTTCGTGACTGGAAGAAGTCCTCAATAAGGAAAACTCTGACAATCTCTTTTCAGCATCATTCATCAGTTCAATGACCTCCTCCCTCGCCTGCTGGTATTCCTGCCACTGAGATGCACATCTTGGAAAAAGTTCAGCAAAATCCAGTAAGAAACATAAAGACACACATTTCCCTACAAAGCTCTGAAGTCGACATGTGTAGTCATGCTCCAAGGAAGAATTAATCTACATGCTATTTGTTCCCTATCAGTTTTCTGTGTCAACGTCCATTTCACTGAAACATAAAGAATAAGAGCAACTCAAAATACCTTTGCAAGAGATCTAACTGGGCATGAGCGTCCCGGGTTAGCTTCTGGCTCTTCTCCTCCAGGGAAGCCATCTTCTGCGCCAGGCCCTCTTTCCCACCTGGCTTGATCAGCGGGTCCAGGTTGGCTACCAGGCTTTGAAGCTCCTCCAGGGTACTGTGGAACTGATCCTCTGTGCTGAAAAAGTCTGTGTGGCGTCTGAGACTCTCCTCTGCACTCTCCACATCGAGACCATTGCCTGTCAGCTGTAACATCTCCTGGGCATCCTCCAGCCAGTCGTTAGCTGCTTGAAATACCTGATAATACCTTTGACATTGGCCGTATATTTCAGTCAATTTAGCCTGTAAAACAATATTGACAAACACAATCATTCCTCAATTACAACGCATTGCAAGAAACCGTTCGTTCGTTAGTCTAGTCCTCCATCGCGTGGAGGGGTATCTGGAAGTGAATTGGTAAATTGGTGCAATTTTTGTGTGTGCAATCCATTATTATCTTATTTTTGGTGCAGTCCATTATTATGGTGTTTTTTTTTATAGCTATTTTTGTTCTAAGTCAATTATTGCATTTCAAGGCAGAAAACAAAAATTGAAATGGAATAGAAGAGTGTAATGGGATCTCGGCAAGTTCTGCAACAGTCCCCTTTCTCTTAAGCATAAATATATTGCCTAGAAGTATGTGGCAGACCGAATCTTCATCAAAATGAAATAATGCTGTTGTTCTAAAAGTATAATGACACTGATAAGAATGTAAACTGATATGGTCACAATGGCTGCACCTCATAAATAAATAAATAAATAAATAATTAAATAAATAAATAAATAAATAAATAAATAAAACTACCATATGATCAGTAATCTGGGGTATATTCACAGGGAATGAAGTCACTGTCCAAAAGGAAGTGCCTTTCCAGGCTCTCTGCAGGCTATTTACAACAGTCAAGCTATAGAAACAGCCTCAGTGCTGACTGACATATTAAAAAATCATGCCATAGGCCCTCCCTGGTGGTGCAGCGGGTTAAAGCACAGCACTAAGAATCGAAAGCCACTTCCGCATGAGTTCGATCCCCGCCTGCCCCGGAGGTGACCACATGGCGAGGCAGACCTCTCCTGACCCGCCCGCTGCTCCCCTCAGCAGTGTACTTCGTCCATCTGCCTGTTCTGCTCCCCACTCTGTCTCTGGTGAATCCTCTCACTGCCCCTGCAACTCTGGCCTGTACCCCAGTTCTGTATGAATAAATGAATAAATCTTAAAAAAAAGAAAAAAGAAAAAAAATCATGCCATAAATTACTATTTACCCAAATACACAGTGGAATATTATGTAGTCTTAAAAAAGGAAATCTTATCATTTATGACAATGTACATGCACTTAGGGTATATTACACCAAGTGAAATAAGTGAGAGAAAGACATGCTATGTGAGATCTTATACCTGTATTATTCAAATGAAAAAAAGAAAACAAAGGTTAAACTCACAGAAACTGAAGGTAAAATTGATTATCAGTGTCTGCAGGGAAATGGGGATGAGGCAAGGAGAGGTTGATTAAATGCTACAAAGGTTTTTTTTTTTTTTTTAAGATTTATTTATACATACAGAACTGGGGTACAGCCCAGAGGTACAGGGGTGGTGAGAGGATTCACCAGAGACAGTGGGGAGAATAACAGCCTGATTATCCAAGTACACTGCTGAGGGGAATAGTGGGCCAGTCAGGAGAGGTCTGCCGCACCATGTGGGTCACCTCTGGGGCTGGGATTGAACTGGTGCTGAAGTGGCTTTAGCTTCTTAGTGCTGTGCTTTAACCCACTGAGTCACCAGGGAAGGACCCTAAATGCTACAAAGTTTTAATTATATGTTGGATAAGATCTGAAGATATAATGCATAACATGGTGACTCATTTGATCCTACTCTCATATAACTGAATTTGCTAAGAAAGCAGAAATTAAGTGCTTGCATAAAAATGGTAAATATGTGAGGGAAGGATGTGTTAATTAACTCAATAGGTTATTTTTACAGTAAGAAGTGTGTCACACTGCCCCATTGCATGCATTAAACATCTCATAGTTTTGTCAAACACCAGTCAACAAACCTGAGGGGAGAAAAAAGAACAGAACACCACCAACTTCCAAGGGGTGTTCAGAAGACCAAATAGCAATTTCTGGGAGTGAGACAGTAGTCCATAAGTCTTGAAAAGAGACAAAATATTCAAGTTCAAGGCTGAAAAGCTGACTGCTATGTAATGAAGTCCATTCACATCGGGAGGAAAAGAGACCTAACTGGGCAGCAATGAGTGGACAGACCAGCCCACTGTGAGCAAGCAAAGACTCAGAGAAGGGGCAGAGAAAGTGTCTGGCCAGCAGGATAGAGAAGAATGAGGATGTCAAAGGGGAGGCTCCACAGGGGAGGTCGGAAGCGCCTTGAACCTCAACCTTCAGGAATCTGAAGGACAACCAATAAGACTGCAAAATGCTGGACAGGGAGACCTCCTTGGATTTGAGGTTTTCATTCAAAAACCACAGAATCGGCCCTCCCTGGTGGCGCAGCAGGTTAAAGCACAGCACTGAGAATCTAAAGCCGCTTCTGCATGAGTTTGATCCCCGCCTGCCCCGGAGGTGACCACATGGCGCAGCAGACCTCTCCTGACCCGCCCGCTGCTCCCCTCAGCAGTGTACTTAGTTGATTTGCCTGTTCTGCTCCCGGCTCTGTTTCTGGTGAAGGCTCTCGCCGCTCCTGAGCCTCTGGCCTGTACCCCAGTTCTGTATGCACAAATAAATAAATCTTAAAAAAACACACACACACAAAATCAACAGAAGCAAGCTAACATCGCAGGTGTTTTTTCAGGGATGAAACTGCAGCTAATTTCTGTCCAGACTCTAGACTCTGGGTTATATTTTTTTTTTCTCTAGAACCATTGGGAAATTTAAAGATTTTTACAACAATGGCTTTGATTGAACATAAAAATAAAAGTAGACTGAATAGGCTTTAGTTTAAGAAATCAGAATTGAACATAATGAAGGTTACTAGGATTCTGCCTACAAACTAAACTAAAAAAATGTTTCAGGATTGAGTGTAAATCTTTATGTGAAAATAGTTTTGTTTATTGAGTGATAACTAAGATTTGCTGGGTGCTACCTTATACCTACACTCAGAATCTGAATCTGAAGGGATACCATTCAGAGAATCTCGGTCCAGTGCTAACCACAGAAATGCAGGTTCACACTTTAAAACAGACACCCCTCTTTTTTCATTGTTAATTAATTAATTTTATTACAGATGTGCTAAGATGTAGCCTTAATGGTGTTCTGCCACTTATTATAATAAATGTCTGCTAAAGGTGAGGGAGAGCTAAGGTATTCCTGTTGTACTGATCAGGCAATGTCAAAATAGAAATCACATAAAGTGAAAACCACACCCATCAACAATAAAAACATCCTTTTATGTCATTGTGAGAAGTGAGCTCAAGTGGAAAAATTATTTATATTATTTAAGGAAGCAATTCTAACCAAAAAAAAGAAAGAAAGAGAGAGAGACAAGGAGACAGAGAGAGACAGAGAGAGAGAGACAGACAGAGACAGAGAGAGACAGAGAGACAGACAGAGAGACAGAGAGAGAGAAGACAGAGAGAGACAGAGAGAGAGAGAAGACAGAGAGAGAGAGAGAGACAGGCAGAGAAAGAAGACACAGAGAGAGAGAGAGAGAGAGAGAGAGAGAGAGAAACAGAAATTTCTCCCACACGTGTTTACCAATAAGAGAGGGAGGGAAGGAAAAGCAAGGTGTGGCTGTACCCACCTGCCTGGCGCAGAGCGCTTCCTGGATGTCGCCCTCCAGCTCAGCGAGCTCGGCCAGCGTGTGCTCTAAGTCTGCAGAGATGAGCTCCTTGGCTTTGCTGAACTTCTCCTTCTCCTTGATGCTGAGCGCGTTCATGATCCGCAGGCTGGACTGGACCTCTTCCTGATGAATCTGGATCTTCCTGATCTCCTCCTGGATGTCCTGCAGATTGAGGTCCAGGCTCAGTGGCCCCCTCAGCTCGGCCTTCACGCCCCGCAGCCAGTCCAGCGAGCGACTCATCTCCGTCTGGAAGTCGATGCTCTGCACCATGCGGCCCTCACACTCGGTCACTGTCTCACCGATGACAGACGTCAGCAGCTTCAGCTCCTCCTGCCAAGCCTGGATCTGATGCTTGGCTGCCTCGTAGGCCGCGGGGTCGAGGTGTGGAACCAGGTCTTCCAGATGCACGGTCACACGTTTCAGTAGAATGCCCGAGTCCTGGAGGCTCCCTGCCAGCGCGTGGTAGATCTTGAGCTTCTCCTCTGCAGGGAGTGTCTGCTCATTCAGTTCGGATTGTTCTGTCTTCACGGCTCCCAGTTGTTTTTGCAGTTGGTCGCACATCTTTCTGTGTTCCTGATACGCGCTGGTCGTGTCTTCCAGTAAGCCGACCCTTTGCTCAGTCTGCCTCTTGAGCCTGTGGTACAGGGTGACAACGTGCAGCATCTGGTCTGGGTGCCAGGGCTGACCGGTGCTGCGAAAACCCTCTTTCTTCTGGTTCAGCTCATCCACTGCTTCCCCCAGGCCAACCACCTCTCCCAGCAGCGCTCTGCAATCATCCTGCAGAGACACAGCCTCCTCCACCATCAGCTTGGCGGGAACCTTTCTCATCTTCAAGAACTGGTCTTCCAGTTCACGCAGAGACTGAGTGGTCAACTCGATCAAGGAAGCATATTCTTTCCGGGCAAGGATTGCTTCTTGGACTTTATAGAACTTGTCTTTGGCCAAGGCGACGATGACATTGAATTGCTGGGGCAGGCCATGGAGTTTATCGTGGAGGTAGGAATGGTCGACTTCATTCAGCGATGGTAAGAGGGCCTGCCCTGTTCTCTGCAGTGTAAGGAGGAGATTTTCATATTCTGGAGATTGCTCAAGAATCTGTTGGTACTTGGCCAGTTGTGTATGAAGCTCAGAACTCTCGTTCATTAGGTTGATTTCCGGAAACGTAACAATATCGGCTTGCTTTAACCAGTGACATGCTTTATCAAAATCTTCCTTAAAATGCTTCCTAGAAACTAAACTTTTCTCTAGTTCTTGCAGCCGGTGGCTACACTTTTGTAAAACAGCATCATAGACACCCTGCAGTTCCTGAAGCTTACTCAGCACTTCCCCCTTCTCCTGTTCAGTGATTTCCTTCATTAACTCCCGCCCCTGGGCCCACAGCCCTGTGACTTCATTTTGGTACGTTTTGAGGCTGGCCTGTGCGCTCTTACATGTTTTCACTTGCTTGCTCACATCTTCTGGTAACAGGCAAATGTGCTCTCGGAACATCATCTTTCGCTCATGTTGCTGGATTTGGCTGGTTGCCTGGAACACCGCCATGAGAAACTGGGTTTTCTCAGACAAGGCCTTGTTTAAGTACTTGCGTCTCTGGCCCACTAAGTCGCTGACACAGTTCACATGCTTTTGTGCCTCAGACAGAGCCTTCTGGATGACCTTCCGCTCGTTGAGCCCCAGGTCAGCCATCACCCTGTCAGCGTCCTTGGTGACTGACTTCAGGAGCATCTGTTTGTTCTCCAGTTCACTGCAAATGGTGAGATGGTCCATGAGGAGGCTCTGGGCCATCTCTGGTGGGGGACTCTGCTGAAGAGCCTCAGCTATGTTGGGTTGCTGCTCTTCAGCCCACTCCATCAGCTCCTGAAATCTTGACCGCACCACATTTAACTCCTCCAAATTGGTGACCGACACTTGGATTTTCCGTTGAACTAGGTCCTCAAGCTGAAACCAACGTTGTTCAAGGTGATGTGTTTGCTCTTTGACTAACTCTTTATCATCTAAGTTCAGATGTTCTATCATTTTTTGCTTTTGAGCCTTCAGATCTTCGATAGCCTGCTTTCTCTCCTGCAAGGACAATGCTAACGTTTTCAGCGCTTCCAAATGAGTGGCTGTGCTCTCTGCGTCGGTTCTGAAGATACATTGATAGACATAAAAGCAAGTGATTTTAGTTAGTCCAGACCAGTATTTGTTCATACCATGTAGATGTCATCTCACCATTTTCTCTAAGTGGGATCATTGTGAATTGCTCCATTCATGGCTTACTGGCAGAGATGCTACGATTACTATGGAACACAAGACCCATTTATTTCTGTATTGGAAGTGAACTGAATCAGACTGTCTTGATACTCTTTCTCTACTCTTCTTCTGGTAAATGTTGCCCTCTAACCACATATGACATGTGTGCTTAACTTCCTCTGGTCTTATCAACTGAATAGAATTTGGATATTGATGAGATACCTGTGTGATTTGTAGAAACACTAAACATTGAGAAGCATTAAATTGCTTCATTCTTGAAAATAACACTTAAAGAACTTACTGGGTGACCTTTGGTTTCTGTGTTTTCCTATGGGCAGAAGCCCCACGAAACAACACAGAACTACAGAATACAACCTATAAGACACAGTGTCCCTATCAGATCAGTTTGGTTTACCTTTACAATAGGGGTGAACTTTCTTTACAATAGGAAAGAACTTTAATCCTCCTTTGATCTACAATGCAGTCATGAGAATACAGAATACCATACTTTCTTTTACTTACAAGACATCCAGTTGTAAAGTCAGAGGAATATGACTAGGAGACAGTAGGATAAGTTTGTTTGAGACAAACAAACAAAGGTGCTTATAGGTCAACCAGATGGAGGTGCCCAATGTAGCCAGAAATATGGGTTTGGGCTGATGTTGACTGAATTACCCTCAAGATGAGTAAAATGAAGAGCATCAAGGAAAGGTAGTGTAAGTCAATCAGAAAGTAGTGTACTTCCTCCAAGAACCTTGAGTATGCTTAGCTACCCTTAGAATAATGAATTTAAAAATATGAACAGATGAAGTACAGGTTTTGACCAAGATAGTGATCATAAGTGTAGAAAGATTTCCATATGATGACAGAGTATGCAAGGGAACGTTTACTTTTCAAAGAAGTTAAGAGGAGTCCACTTACTACAGATTCACAAAGGACTTGCATTAACTAAATTTAAATTGTTAACTACTTTCTAGAACACCACAGTACAACACAAAACTCAAATTACAAAGAATGTAGTAGTTTACAGAACTGACAAGAAACTTCCAGAACATAAAGATCCATGAAAGATTCATTTCTGTGAATTTACATCATGAATTCACAGATGTCAGTCCCATAACTGGTAAACAAAACTAGAAATACTTCTGTGATATTCTTCGAAGTCATAGAGTCAGTCTTTGGAACCCTCTTTGAGGTCACAGTTAACAAATGTTTGTTTTCAAACCTTTCCTTTTTTACCCACACCATGGGATTGCATCCAGATGACAACATCAGATCCTGAGTAATGCCTGCTTAATGTTAATAATGAAGACAATCAACATTAAAAATGTAAAACTTCTTAAGTGTTTGTAGAAATTAAAAATGTGTGGCGTAGCGTTTTGGTGACACACTAGAGAATCGCTGTTACCTGGCCAAGTTGTCCCACTCCATTGTGAATTTCTCTAAAAAACCTTCCACGACGCTCATGCAGTCATGGTAGTCCCTGGTTCTCTGCAGACCCTCTTCCCTCTGTTCACACAGGGTGGTGTACTGGAGCTGCAGCGCCTCCCACTGGTCCTGCAGGTGCTTTATTTCCTTGTGTTCAGGAGATTCCTGCTTCTTGGTTAACTTATTCACCTTCTGTGTGAGGGCACTCACAGAAGCCTGCTGGCACTGTAGTTTTTTCACAAAATCCTAAAGGATAACAACAAGGGTAAAATAAAGACCTTCAATGTGCTGAACCCCCAGATGGCAATGGGGAGGAGAGGGTCTGGCCCAGACAGACGCCCTCTAAGCACTGAAGAGCACACAGGAAATGACCCATGAGGCACAGACGTGTAAACGTCACCACACCACTCGAGGCTACACATCTCCACATGCACAAGAGACAAAGGGAGCTGTGGCATCTTTGTGTGATTTGAAAAGTATAAAGGAGAGCTGGTGAATGTAGAGCAACACTCTGGTCACTAAGGAAAAAAGTATTTTATCTTAAAGGGCCATCTTTAAAGTTCCTCAAAAATTTAAACTTCACTTCATTGACAGAGAATAGCAAGTTTATGTCATCGCCATTTTTTTTTCCTCATAGACAAATGATATTTCAGTAAAAAACTTAAGTGACTTATGAACAAAGAGAAAAAAATGAATCAAAGTTTGTTAAAATGCTGGTACAGGGTCTAGTCAAGTTAACCTACTCCTAAAAATTTTCTATTAAATTTCATGTGTGAATCATATTCCTGATTAGATTGATACCACAACATACATTTTACTACACTTTAATTCCATCAAAAGTAATTACATTCAGAATAATTAACTGGTGCGTTTTGAATTCTACAGCATTCACACAAATGTGATGGAAAACGAATACCTGATAGGACTATATTAGTGGCATAACCTAACTCTGTCAGCTAAAGCACAGCTGTTTAGCTTAGGAACAAACTACAGAGCGAATGTTCTTTGATGCCAGGGCCCAATGGGAGCTCTAAGAGAGTATTTGAGGGCTACTTTCTGATTCGTCCCTGTCTGGCATGAAATAAAGGTTGCTTTGACTTTACCCTTTTCCTTCAATATGGATGCTCAAGTTTCAGGACTGACACCCCCACCTGCCTTGCCCCTCTTTATCTTCCCTGCAGGGGCCCTAACGCCTACCTTGACTTGGGAAACCATGTTCTGGGCAATGTTAAGCTCCAGCTCTGAGTGCCTCCTCTTCATATTCTGCAGCTGCTGGTCGGCATCCTGGAGGTAAATCCAAAGCTCTGCCTTCATGTGCTTGATTTCTTCCCAGCCCTGAGTTACATTCTGTGCCTGGACAAGCCTTTGTTCAATCTTGAGAAAACACAGACGCAAGGGTGAGCCACGACAGACAAGGATTTGTGCACTCCAGGGATCTCCCACCAGTCCAGATCCCCGGGCTGGCACATGAAAAGCAGATGCTTTTTTGATATTTAGGTTGTCTACAGACTTAAATGTGGAAGACATGCCAGATGGTTTCAGTCAGTGGCGTGATGCAAGAGTTTTAACCATCCACTGGGCCAAAAGTTGCCCTGCTGGTTATTTGATTTGGGTGCTTAGGTTGGCACACCTGTTCCACCTGGAGTTCATTAGGAAAGATATATTCTCTATTATGCATTTGTTGATACTGCTTGTAAGATGCTAAGTTATCAAGGTTTTAGCTGTACTCTAGGTCTATCTCACTGGGTGCGAAGCCATGCCATTTATTTCACTAGGTCATTTTTTTTTTTTTAAGATTTATTCATGCATACAGAACTGGGGTACAGGCCAGAGGTGCAGGGGCAGTGAGAGGATTCACCAGAGACAGAGTGGGGAGCAGAATAGGCAGACTGATGGAGTACACTGCCGAGGGGAGCAGTAGGCAGACCAGGAGAGGTCTGCCATGCCATGTGGGTCACCTCTGGGACCGGGATCGCATTTACACTGAGGCAGCTGTGGCTCGCTTGAAGTGTTGCACCTTATCCGCCTCCGCCACCAGGGAGGGCCCACCAGGTCATTTCTATGAAAAGAATATGGGGTGCCATTTCTTTACAAGGATTTGTGGAAAGATGTGCTTGGTAGTAAGAAAGTGAAGAACATTCCTTCTTTGGACTATTTCACTGGACTATTCTGTGAATAATTAATTAAATACCAGCACCATGTCTTATTTTCCCTTTAAACTCAAACATGTTCGTTTGAGAGCTTGAAGCAAAAGTGGCAGCTATACGGGCCCCATGCTGCCGCCTGCTGCTGTGGACCGGTACTGCAGGAACTCATTGCCACACTTCATCTATTTTTGGGTCTTTTTCAAATTTTAATGTACATTAGAAATCATACTGTGCCCAAAGACTATAGAAGCATTATAGCAAGAGTCATCCCAGGAGATATTTTCTTTACACCTCACAAGTAACGTCCAAGCAAGAGAATATAATAAAGCTGATCAGTCCACATGTGATTTCATTTTTCTTTGTTTCCTTACCATTTGCTCTGTTTGTTGAATGTCTTTTGCTGTGGTTTTCACTGAAGGGTTTGACAAATCACACATGGAACAAAGGAGATCTAAATAGGTCCTTGCCTGCTCCTGCAAAGCTCTGAAGTGTTTAACCTGTTTAACAACAACAACAACAACAACAACAACAACAAAAATCAGAAAAAAAATCACAGCTTTCAAAGAGAAAAAGGTGCATGTTCTATGTAGACAGCTACCCTTTGTAATATTTTGCTGACATTTCAAAAATAATTTTGCTATGCCCAGTATTATCAACACTGTTGTAAAGGATGTCTATTAGTGACTCATAGGAAAAAATTAAAAACAGAAGGACTGGGAGACATCTGTCCACCAGCTACACATCATGGTAATGAAAAAAGTCTGGTCTGGGGAAGGGGAACACCCAAGAAACTTCTACAGCCTTCTCAGAGTCTCTAGTCACATCCTTGCTTGTTTTGCATTTCCGAGAAAGACTCTAGCCTACTCTGGTTGCTCCTTAATAGGTTTTTGCATGATCAGAGACAAAGGAAAGAGACGTATGGGGGCAACACTGGAGAGCAGTTAACATGAGGAGCCTGGTCTTGTTCTTTGCAGAAAGTCGTGCAGTGGTCCTTTCTTTCCAGAAGCCCAAGAAGGGTATTAACGGGGAACCCCAGACACAGGAACACAGAGCGATGTGTTTCTCTGCAGATGCTCAAGAGTCTACGCAGGCTGGTTTAGATACTGGCCATAAAGCAGAGCCCTCAACAAACAACAAAACCCTGGTTCCCCCAGTACTCACAGTCCTAGGAGAGAGACATATAGCATTTCCCAAGACAAACTGACATGTGTGTGTGTCTGTGGTGATGACCACCATGTAGCAGAGTGTGACGAGGAAGCAGCTACTTGGGAAGCACATGCCCCAAGACCTTCCTGTGGACTAGCCTTGAACTCAGGGAGAGGGCAAGCTCTCACAGGGTTAGAACATTCCAGGCAGGGTAGGGTGGGGGTGGGGACAGCAAATCAGAGGCCCGTGGCTGAAGCAGCTGTTTCAGGAAGGAGCCGAGGTCCAGGAGGCAGGCAGGGGCCAAACCCTGGAGCACATCAGGGGGATGACCACGCCTCTGTCTTTGTGGGGTAGATGCCTCCATTTCAGAGCTCCTTGGCCTCAGCACCTGTAATCTGAAGCCAAATAATTCTTCGCAGTGGGGGGCTGTCCTTGTGCACTGCAGGCCAATTAGCTGTATCCTGGCCTTTATCTGTTCTATGCCAGTTGCACCCCACCAGTCCCATCTGGGGTAGCCAAAGATCTTCAGGCATTGCTGAATGTGCACTTGAATGTGCTTCTTCTACAGCTCCTTTCTGAAGGGGGCCAGACCACTCAGGGACACTGAATGGAAGTGCAGGGTACTTCGCAGTCATCGATTCTAGACCCTGAGGAGGGAAGATGTCCTCCTGCACCTACAGCTAGGTGAGGAAGGTGTAGGGAACCCTGTTCTAGAAAAAGGTCATGGGGATTAATGCTATTTTTCTTTCTCTAACTTTTAATTCACTTTTTTATAACAAAGGAGAAAAATCAAGCTTTCATTTGGGTTATTTTACATAACGACACATTGCAAGAAATATCCACAACACAAGGACTCATCCGGGATGTTCCCCGGCCAGATGAAAACATTCGACATAGTGTGCATGCGTTGTTCTTGATCCAAGGGGAAACGAGGGTTCACTTGCCCTGATCCTATTCTTCATCGGGTTTAATATGTGCACTTTCATGAAACACTTCATGAGAACTAATGTAAATCACTGAGATCAGAAAGTGTTCTTTGGGGGCAAACTGGGAGGACACTTCTCTGTGTGGATGAGAGGAGAAGTAGATTATGTCATCTCAGTTTACGTTTAAAAAAAGGAGTTATCTGTTAAATATTGCTGCTTCCTATCTAGCAGCAATAGCCTGTACAGCCAATTCCTCTCACCTGCGCAGAGCTGCTCAGGACAAAAATCACTTCAAGGGACCATTGTACACTGTTGGTGACTGTGTGGAGAGACCCCGTCCCTATGGAAACCACGTGGAGGTTTCTCAATAGGTTAAAAAGAGGTCTAGCACACGTCAGCAATTCCACTCTTAGGCATCTACCTGGAGAATAAAAGTAATTCACGGGATAGCTGCTGTGTTCACACAGCACCACTGATAATAGCCAAGTTATGAAAACAACCAACAACCAAGGACAAAGGAACGAGGGAGATAGGGACATGTACACCGCGAAATACTACTAAGCTATAAAAAATACATGCTGTTGCCATTTTCAACCACAGGATGGGATTGGAAGAGACGATGCTAAGTGGAAGAAGTCAGAAAGAAAGCAGAATATTGACTGGTGTCATTTATGTGTGAAGTACAGAGAAGCAAAGCAAAGGGTCAGGCAAAACCAAACCAATCACAAAGTCCGGAAATCTAACTGTGGAACTGGGCTACAGGATGCGGAGTGGGAGGAAGAAGCATGAAGGGAGGAGGCCCGACGGACGTCAGTGGGGAGCTGAGGGCGCCCGGGTGGTGGGGTGGTGCGGGCATCGTCCGAGGAGGTGTGATCCTCGGCTTCTGAATCACGCGCAGAGATGTAAGCCAATGCTACCACCGTAGTAGTAGTAATAACAATAAGCTATTTAATATTCTTAATTTCTCTGTTTGTGGCAGCAACAATATTTTAAGCATGTGGATGATGCTATGCTTGTATGCCATAGGTGGTTTTCACATGAAGACAACTGGCATTGCATTCAGTCATTATTTTTTAAGTACCTTGCTCTGTGCCCTCCAAAAAAATAACAGAATGTGAGGTTTTCTGTTCATAAACCATTACATTGTGATGTGGGATTTGAATTTCTTCATAGTCTTATAAGCTTGCAGAAAGGATGCTTACTATCATCATTTTACATTTCAGAATACGGAAGCTCAGAGAATGAAGTCACCCCCTTGAGTGGACTTCCTGGCTGCCACATCACACTGTCTGTCCCCTAGCTTGTCCCTCAGGATGGTGTCTGTCTCCCTGATGAAGCCGCCCGTCACCACACTTGTCTTTCCCAGGAGCAGCACGTGATGGGTACCGAGCATGTGCTCACTGAGGGTGTGGCTGAACCAACTCTGAGGAGTCTCACCTGCTTCACGGCTTCAGCCCTGCTTAGAGGTGGGTGCGGGCTGGGCTTGACATCAGGTTGGACAGCAGAAAGCCACGCCTGGCACTGCTGCAGGGTGTCCTGCCGGCTGACATGCTTTTGAAGTTCGTGTTCCAAACTCTGGTACACCTGAGAAAAAACAACCCGTTGTGGTTATGAAGCTCTTTTATCTGTCTGTAACCATCTCTGGAATGCAAAGAAACACCCACCCCCTCTACCCAACCCTAGAAACATATCTAAGGTGATTATAAAAATGTTCCAAAATATTGCAGTGGCTCTCCTAGATTCTAAGTTCTCCACCCACAACCTACGTGCAATATTATTAGAGGAGGAGGTTATGGTACTGGAAATGTGCCATCATACATACAATCTTTGGAGTAAAGGGTCAAATCAGAGTTTTTGTAGCTTTCCCCAATTTGACACAAATATTGCACTTTTTGTTTAAGCTAGAAACCTGAAACAGAAATCGAACACCATATTATGAAAACATAACCACGAAGATTTCTCTATCTGAAACGCTTCTCCTTTTGGGGGGTAGGGTCACATTTGAGCTGAATGCATGAGGGACAGAAGAGCTTGGTGCCCTCATTTCATTTTAGAAACTGAGTCCCAGGAAGATGTTCTAGAATAATCCAAGCATTTTCTGCTTTGTCCATCAACTTAACCTTCAACTCAACTAAGCGGCATTTTATACATACATAGATACATACTGGGAGTTTTATGTTTCTTCTTAAAAATCAAGATGAAATAAACCAATTATGTTTTCTTAGCAAAAGAGTCTGTTCAAACAATGAAGTAAATGAGACTATTTTGACTTCATTATTGAGACAAAAGAACCATTGGATTGTCTCTGTAGTCGGCTAAATTTCTCATTTTCAACTTGCACTGGGATGACCTCCTATTTATTCTTACTCCAAGCAGAGCTAAAAAGTTAAACATGTATTATGCTCTCTATCATTTCTGAAAATCTGAAGTAGGAGGTTCTGCTACGTTTCCAGTTTCACCTGCTGTTATAGAAGTTACTATCGAATCATGTATTTGTCTTTTAACAATTAGCAGTGATGACCAAAAAAGCAATTTGCGATTTAAATGCTTTAAATGCCTGGGCAATAACCCTACGAAGCCAGCACTGAGCAAACCTCTCTGGCATGAAGCAATGCATGAGCACCTCAACCATCCCTTGCCTTTGCCTTCTTGCCTTCACCCCCTTGTCATCATTTGTAACTTTTGTTAGAAGCCTTTGCCCCTCTTTCTTATTGCTTCTTGAAAGCTGTTCGATAGACACAGTTTTCCAAGCCTTTGGGAGCTAACTAATGACACTCAGCATAGTTTTTATTATCATGAGGCACACAGACCATTCTCCCCAGTCACTTGTCATCTCCAGTTCTTCCTGGCTCGCCCAGTAACAAACCCATGGATTTTTTCAATATCATTTAAAAATTCTAAAATAGGGCCCTCCCTGTTGGCACAATGCATTAAAGCACAGCACTGTGAAGCTAACTGCAACCATTTCAGCAGGAGTTCGATCCCCAACCAGGGAGCTGACCCACAGGGCGCAGCAGACCTCTCCTGTCTCGCCTGCTGCTCCCCTTAGCAATGTACTTTGGTTGATTTGCCTGTTCTGCTCCCCACTCTTGTCTCTGGTGAATCCTCTCACCGCCCCTGCACCTCTGGCCTGTAACTTAGTTCTATATGCATAAATAAATCTTTAAAAAAAATCCTAAAGTAAAAGAAACCCATTGATTTTGCTCAATTTTTATTAAAAATATAATTCATTTTCACCTTAAACTTATGTCTACAACATAAATGATACTGTGCTAGTGGACATATTCTCATGGATGTGCTAACTCAAAATCTGTGCTTGCTGCTTTTCTCAATTTCTATCAAGTGCATTAAAAAACCTCATACTTCAAAAATCTGAGCCTCCTACTTCAGATTTTCAGAAATGATAAAGAACATAATACATTTTTATCTTTTTAGCTCTGCTTGTAATAAGAATAAATAGGGGGTCATCCCAATGCAAGTTGAAAATGAGAAATTTATTGCATGGTGGAGAGGCTCAAGGCTGCACAGTTAAAGAGAAGATAATGATTGCGAAATTACTAAAGAAACTTATTTGGCTTTAAGGAACAAAAGGCAATCTAGAAAGAAGGACAGTGGTGCAGATAAAAATCAGATAATCTTCTTTTAATTTTCATCATCACTTGATGTCATAAAGGGATGAGGCAAAACTGAGTATCTGAAATGTACTGCTTCCTCACATCGATCAAATGCAAAACATGCTAGTTCTTTGTTAACGAAGACTGTGAAATCAATCCTCCAGCTCTTATCTGGACACATATCAAAGCTAACCCAATGACTGAAGCATCATTACTAATTCTAAACACTTCTATATTGGGGCCTCCCTGGTGGTGCAAGGGGTTCAGTCTCAGCACTATGAAGCTATAGGCAGCTGCTGCAGCAAGAATTTGATTTCAGGGAGCTGACCCACAGGGCACAGCAGACTTCTCCTGTCTCCTCGCTGCTCCCCTCAGCAGTGGATTTCAGTCCATCTGCCTGTACTGCTCCCCACTCTGTCTCTGGGGAATCCTCTCACTCCTGCACCTCTGGTCTATACCCCAGTTTTTATATGCATAAATAATGAGTTTTTAAAAAAAGCTTCTACATTGCACAACCTTTCTCCCACTTGTCAGCCTTCTAGAACCTTCCGAAGCACTCACCCTCTGAGCTGTGCTGCAGATGGCAGAGTAGCTGTCCTTCGTGCCCTGCAGGTGTGCGTGCACATTTTGTTTAAGCTTGGCTTGCAGGTGGTCTGCGCACTGACTAATCAAATTGTCACCTTTCATTTTAAGGTTGTCCAAACGATCTTCAAAACCTGCAATTTCTTCCATCATGGCCTACAAAATAATACACAGTGCTCGTGTAATTTAATGTTTTGTTTTTAATTAACCTACTGATCAAACAGAAAGGGGGAAGATCAATCATTTAACTGTTAAATGAAGACTTTGCTAAATAAAAATTATCTCCGACAGGTGGAAACGCTGATGACTGAGAGATTAGCTGGCTTCCCTGAGAGGCACCTCGAGGTATCCATCACCTAACAACTCAAAGTCAGTTTCAAATTAAGGTCACTGAAAGTTGACAGACATTTTAATGGGCCATCTGCCACTTCTCAGGCAGTAGACAGAGTTGCTAAAAATACACCTCCTATCAGTGGTAAAACCAGCATGTGGTCTACAAACGCTCACATCAGTATTCCTGCGGGCCAGGAACGGAGGTAAGATCCTGAGTAAGCAAGGGGAGGACATGGCTACAACCCAGGCTTTCTGGCTGCCGTCCTGTACCCTAAATTTGGCTCACTTCTCTAACATAAAGAAAATCTCGGAGTAGTGACACCATCAAATTTGGTGATCAAAAGCTGTTATCCCGGAACATGTTACAATAGAGTCAGAACTTGAATGCCGGGATTCAACTAGGGCACTCATTAATCACTGAATTCACTGCTCTCATTTCTCAGACTTTGTCGAGACTCAGCCCTGATTCTCTAAGCACATGATTTTGATTAAGGGTTGAATGTACATACAAGCAGGTGTGTGCACACTCTCACTGGCGTGCAGCCCACAGGCACACTCTCGCAGTACACACGGCACGTTCTCACGGTGCTCATGGCACATGCTCGCGGCGCACACGGGCACACACTCACACACGTGCAGCACACAGGCTCCCTTGGCCTCCAGCTCTGCAGAACCAGACGCACCTTGTGGTGGGCCAGCTGCTGCGTGATGGTCTCCAAGCTGCTGGTCTCCATGAGGTCTGGTGCCACCAGCCTGCCGGACATCTGCAGCAGCCACTTTTCCACCTCCTGGAGCTCACTGTTGTAATCTTCATGGTCCTTGACCTTCGCCTCGAGACTGCAGACGTGCTCCTGCGGAGGCAGGTGCCCACGGCAGGTGACTTTCTAACAATCTACTCAATTTTTCACCTTCTTATAAAAACTCAGCACAACTCCTGGGGCAGATGGAACCCCTTATCATAGAAAATGGTGAGAAGGGTGTCTTCCTCGTGGCTCATGGGATTAAGTCTCAGCCCTCTGAAGCGATCCCAGCCACTGCAGCATGAGTCCATCCCAGACCAGCATGAGCTGACCGACAAGGCGCAGCAGTCCTCTTCTGGCCCACCCGCTGCTCCACTCAGCAGTGTATTTTGGTGAGTCCACCTGTTCTGCTCCCCACTCTATCTCTGGTTGATCCTCTCACACTCACCCCCACACCTCTGGCCTATACCTCAGCTCTTCTATGCATAAATTAATAATAAAAGAAAATGAAGAGGAACAGAAAAACACAGTCATTTTACCATTTAAAATGACCAGCTGGTCAAAAGGAAAAATACAGACCTATATTAGTCTCGAATATGTTTTGAGAGCAAAATGTCAGCACCCCTTTGAGAGCAAAAGCATTCAACACATTTGTTACTGGCCACTCCTTACCTTTGCTGATGCACAGAGGCCCTGATAGTCACTCTCGAGTTCATCTATTTTGTCCTTTAAAGTAACATCCTGCACCAGTTCCAGAAGCGCCTCCCCTTTCTCCCGCACCGACGTGACCGAGGGCTCATGGGACAGCACCGAGTGTTGGAGGGACTTGAACGACAAAGAGCAAGAACAGCGCCCGTTCACATGGGGGGTCAAGGTGGGCAATCTCCACCTCTGCCCCAGGAGATGATCTACCTCCAGTCAAGTTTCGATACCTTGTCTATAATTCAATATGTGTGAAATATCAAATAGAATGATCTGTGGACGGCTAACATAGTTTTGACATACAGCGGACAAGGATGTCCTGCATATGGAGCAGGAGGGAGGGCAAATAAATAAAACGAAACAAATTGGGTTCCTATTCGTGGCTCCCACTCACTCCTGCAGAGAAGAGGTATGTGGCATGTAATGCAGGGAGTGGGGTGTTACCTTTTGATTTTGATTCATGAAATATGTTGCAGCTGGTGCTAGATGTGAAACTAGAAGGCAAAGTTGCTGGGCCAGACTGAGGATACACAGAGGCACGATTCCTACAAGCACCTTCAAAGACACGGTCCGCCTGGCAGAAAAGCCAAGGTCAGGAACAGGCCTATTGACTAGAGGAGCAGACGCTTTCCACAGGGAAAACTGAGGCTAACCCCTCAGTCACACTGGCCTTCTTTCACTATGGCTAAGTCGTTGGGGTCAAATGTAGAACACAGATTATTCTGCAAGCAACCTTTGTTAATTGTTTTCAAAACTGGGTAAAGTATCTGTACTGTCTATAGTTATAGACACACCACAGCTTTCTTTTTGCAAACAGCTGGTGGGTTTGTTGATGAAGTGACGTCGGTCTGTAACATGATACCAGCTGCAGGTGAAAGCCTCATAAATCACGTCTGTATCGACTATATCCTGGTCACCACTTGCATTCTGGCATCCGTCTGTCACTGAACAGTTGACCCCTTCACCAGATCCACCCACACCCCCTTACCCTTTCCTTCTGGTTACGATTCACTTGTTTTTATAGTCTGAAAGACAGTTTCTCTTTTGTTTATTTACTACTTTTGTTTTAGGTCTACCAGATGAATGAAATCATACAGTGCTTCCTCTGACTTCATTAAGCATAACTCCAGTTTCAGCCAATTATGTATATTTGCAAAAACTAATGTCTACGGTATGATCTATAGTTGGTTCACTGGAACTTATTTTCTTAGTTAACTAAACTTCATTTTCAGCTAACCGTGGGCCAGTTTATAAGCCTGGAGTATCGAAAAAAGACGAGAAGACTCAGCATGAAACTGATAAAATCTATAGGTGTGAGATCAAGCAGGGAGGTTGAGCCGAAGGGGCTCTGTGAGTGGGTCGGACTCAGAGCCTAGTTCCTATTTATAACGACACTGTCTTTGCTAGCAGGCAAATAGGATTCTGGAGTGGAAAAGGGATCAGGGCAGTGTATCCAGCCAGAAAGAGCCGCACCTCTCACCACTGCGAGAGAGAGTTAAGGCTGTTTTTCTATCATCCATTGGGGTGGCACAAACAAGAGCTCCTGCCCCCCCCCCCAACTTAGTCTCGGCAGGACCCCTCCCACCCGTGCAAGAGTAAACACATACTACCTTGTATTTAGATAACTGAGCTTTTTTCTCATATAACTCCATCTTGGGATCTTCAGGGCTCTGCAGGACCCCTTGGTACTCAGCTACCCACTGAGCGAGCGCTTTGTATTTGTCTGAGAACTCCTTGGCCAGATAGAGGCCTTTCTCCAGGGCTGTGTGCTCTTTTCGGACAGTGCTGGTCAGGTCCTTCAACTGCTCCACGCGACCGTGGATTTCTTTTCTCAATGTCTCTGCTTCACCATCCTCCAAGTACTTCAGAGCTCGCTCCCCCTTCTCCCGGGCTGATTTCAGCAAACTGTGGCCTTTCTCCATGTCTTTGAGCAAACCCTAAGGAGAGAGAGTAGGAAGCCAACACCAAGGTCATCTTGCTTTTGCCTTTTAAAAGTTTCTGAGGCCATATATGACTCCTTAAAATACCTCTTTGACGTGAATCACCAATCTGATGTACCAGAAATTTTCTTTTCTTTATTTCAATATTGCTTTACAAAGTCTTGATCAATACATCGCTTCCTGATCAAAGACTTAAAGAGAAGTTAATGTCTCTCTCATCCTGAGCAATGATCTTAAAGAGCTGGTAAGAGCTGCATGTCACCGCACAGTGCCACCAATGTGAAGTCATTTTTCCTCTTAATTTAAGTGTCAAATTGGAATTTAGTTAAAATGTTGTCAGCGGTGACATCTAAGCCGTTCCTATGATAGCACAAATCAGTGAAAGCCAGCTCTGGGACTGACTGACTTTCTGACCTAGTTTTGGAATGAAAGGATGAGCACGAGTCACCCGTCAGTCAGGTAGACCAGACACCTGTGCTCCCACAGGCTCTGCAGGGAAGGGAGAGATCTCTGGAGGAGCTCTGGGGGGCTTGGGGACAGGTGGGAGGCAGTCATGCCTACCTCCAATGTCTTCATTTTCTTCCCCATCATGGCTTTATCTACTTTATCAATTTTGGCAGCTACATTCTTGAAGTTTTTATGAGTAGAGCCGTACCAATCCGAGTAGGAACTCAGGGATAACTCTGATTCCTCCAAGCTCTGGATCTCTTCCTCCAGGAATTTTATTTGTTCCTTTGAAAGAAAATAAAGTTGAACAGTGAAGTAAAGACCGGGACAAGTGCCATTTGTGCTATATAGACACCTCTCTGGAAGTTAATGGAAGAGAGGGTGTGAATGGAAATTAATGGAAGTCCTCAGCCCCCTTGTTTTCGGGATATTGTCTCAGTGCCCAGAAATCCTTCTGGTCAAAGTGAAATGTAGAGTTGGGCAGGGGGCCTCTCACCAGGACAAAAGTCTTGGCATGAGGAACATACTGGAAAACCGGTATCTGCTGAAAACAGCAGGCAGATATTATGGCCAGATTAGCATAACCAACTACCCCAACCTGGACAGATAATTAAGTGTAAACAGGACTAGAGATAGGTATTTTAGATCAGCAGGAACAACAGAGCCTCGCAGGCAACAGCCCCTATTCACTGCCCCTAGCTTGTGCCAGACTATTCTGCATCCCAATCCACTCCCAGCCATGTGCAACCCTGCATGCACTTGCCCACCTCCCTTGGACCTGATCCCACGATGTGAGACTGCCCTGGGCACAGGGCTGCACTCGCTGAGGTGTGAGCCCCTCTAGATGTCTCTCCACTTGGCCTTGAGGTGTCTTTCCTCCATCCTGCGCCACTCCCAACACTGCCCTCACGCTGAGCCTTGGGTCAGCAGCCCACTCACCAGCACTTGGAGGACAAGGGCCTGGTATCTGGATGCCAGCTGTGCGGCCTGGCAGCCGGTGCGGCTGCTCACGTGGCTCTCCTCCAGGATCTCCTGTGCGCGGGCACCCACCTCCTCAACTTCATCTCTGTAGGCAGCCACTTCCTCGTGCCACTTCTGAAATGATGTCAGTTGGGGGGGGGATGGTTCAGTCTCAGGCATTCTTGGACCAGGCAAAAATATACATAGCTAGATCTTACGAGAAGATGATTCTTCTTGTATGTATAAGTAAATAAAATAAATGTTTAAAAGAAAAAGATTTAATGTCTGTTTAGGATATTTTTCTTGAAATATAATTTTAAGATTTATTTATTTGTGCATACAGAACTGGAGAACAGGCCAGAGCTGCAGGGGCAGTGAGAGGCTTCACCAGAGACAGAGTGGGGAGCAGAACAGGCAGATCGATGAAGTACACTGCTGAGGGGAGCAGCGGGCGGGTCAGGGGAGGTCTGCTGCGCCATGTGGGTCACCTCCGGGGCAGGGATCGAACTCATACTGAAGTGGCTTTAGCTTCTTAGTGCTGTGCTTTAACCTGCACCACCAGGGAGGGCCAAAATAAAATTTTAAAGCTATATCACATATAACCTTCATGAAAACTCATTACAGCAATGTGATTAAACACTATCTGATTTTGATGGGATAATTTTTGTATATATTAATTTAAGTTCAAGAAAAAAACAGGATTTTGTATATTTATCATCTTATTAGGGAACAATTGTGAATATATTTATTTAGAATGTTTTATGCTTAGAATATATTTATTCTGAAATAAAATTTTGAAAATGTGTCACACACAACTTCATAAAAATTGTGCTACAAAAACCTGATAAGAATGGTATACTTTGAGTTGGAATAATTTTCTATATACATTTCACTTTAATTTTTTTTTTAAAGAGGGCATGTCTTCTTTTGTGCTTTGATAAATTTTGAAAAAGATGAATAATGAAAAGAAATTGTAAAGGGCAAAGGACTATTTTGATCATATGTCTTAATTTGTGTAAAATTAGAATGAAAGTAAGGCTCTCCCTGGGGTGCAACAGGTTAAAGCACCTCACTATGAAGCTCTCCAAAGCCACTGCAGCACGAGTTCAATCCTCCACCAGGGAGCTGACCCACATGGCGCGGCAGACCTCTCCTGACCCGCCCGCTGCTCCCCTCAGCAGTGTACTTCGTCCATCTGCCTGTTCTGCTCCCTACTCTGTCTCTGGTGAATCCACTACCCACCACATCTCTGGTCTGTACCCCAGTTCTGTAAGCATAAATAAATAAATCTTTTTAAAAAATGAGAATGAAAGTAATTATTTTTTCAATGAATTATTCTAGAAAAACTTCGTATCAGAACCAGAAGTTTAAATGATTGCAATGTTAGCATTCACATATCTTTATAAAGCGAGGTACTAAGTCATGGGAAGAAAACAGCATATATTTCATTAAAGACTAAATTTGGATTCTCTGAAGTCATCCCTGCATGGAAAATGCTCTGGTATGCTTGTAGGCAAGTGGAAAAGATCTTGCAAAATCTAGGTCTTGGCCAAAGTTACTAAATATTTGAATAAAACAAGCTCTGCATGACCTCTGCTACTGTGAGGAGAGCGGGAATTTCCACTCACAGTACCTTCATCTGATGTAACTGTATCTCCTTGGCTGCCCGACTGGACTGACGCTGCGTTCGGAGACTCACTTTCTCCTCCAGGATTTTCAGCCACTCATCCACTTGCTGAAACTTCTGTTCCATCAGTCTCAACTTGTTCACAACATTGTTGAACTGAGTTCGGGTCTCGGAGAGTCTCTCCTGGTAAGCCTGCCAGTCCTGCCGGAGAGATTCTAGAGCCCGATCCTCTGTCTGGGGGAGACCCGACGGTATCACCTCCTCTCTGCTGCGCAGCACTGAGTTCAGCAGTGCCTGACCCTCGGCACAGCGCACCTGCAGCTCCTGCATCGGGAGACATGGCTGTCACGTCTCATCCATATTTTATACCTGGGTCGGTTATCACTTCTCACTAAGCCACAAAGCCAACTGTGTCAGTGTGAATTGCGCATTCAAATTTTACTCTCTCGTACACAAATGTGTAGCTCACACTGAATATTGTTATCCATCTTAGGAGAAACATTCAGAAATATCTCTGATAGAAAAAAACAACATGCACATGCCAATGTTTTTTCTTATCTATCTTAGTAACTGTTTCTGAAATTTGACTGTTTGACTTACAGACAAAACTACTTATGATGGAAGGGTTGTTATTTGAAAAGTAACTTTTAGACTTATCATGGCTCACAAGTTATAGGGCGTTTTGCTTGGACATTGAGTAGGGTCAGTGTTGCACTTGGGAATAATGGACCCACTTTTGCTAAGGAGGGATTCTCTGCAGAGTTATACTCTGGGGAATGTGGTAGCCAAGCAAAGCTTGTCTTGGAGGGTAGAGGACACACCTCTGGAAAGCTGATTCATCGCACCTGCCCACCAGCTGGGATACAGTTTCCTCCACCAAAGCACAAGACTCAAAGATTTACCCTCTAATTTCAGCAAGGTTAGAGGAGAAGAACACATTATGTTTATAGAAATCAAAACACATATCCTCAAAGATACTGACAAAACGATACTGTCTTCCTGATGTTAGACAAATAACATGTTATTACTTGATCTCATCATCTAGAATTGAAAGGAACCATGACAACCCTCACCAGTAAAGTTCATAGCACCCAAGTAGTTGGCTAAAATGCAGCATTAAAAAAAAAATTTTGAATGTGTTTAAAATTGCTTGTATACGACCATGTTTACCAATAAAAAATAGCAATCATATATGATTTAAACTAACTAACATACTTTTTTCTTTATGATGATGTCACTAAAATGTAATGTGGAAAAAAATGCATAAATAAAGGTGTTAGGTAAACATACTGTAAATGGCAGAGAAGAATAGCATATGATAAAAGCATTAATCAAAATGGCCACAATCATTCTAAGATTTTATAAAATTGCATTTTGTATGATGCCTTCCCTTAATTCTGGGATTGCTACGTATTTCCTGAAACGTATTCACTAGTGAATATTTTAGGTTTCCTGAGTCATACAGCTTCTTTGGTAAAATAACTTTGCCAAGCTAAGCACCAAGGCACCCACAGACCATATTTACATGAATGGCTGTGCCTGTGTCCTAATAAAACTTTATTTAAAATAGGTCCACGTGACTAAAGGCTGCCGCCTTCTGAACTACATGATCGTTAACTTTCCCCAATCAGTCCACTATTCCATTTTTCTAACCTTTTCCTGTAGGTTACAATCCATCACAATATTAGTTTGATTTGCAAATATCCCATATTTCAAGTTTTTATTCTGAAATGAACATGGTCCCATATTTTAAAAATCTCTGTTTCATGGCACAGAGAGGTGCAAAGGGTGTCAGGACCCGGATGTTCTGCTGTGCGTTTGGACATCACAATTCTCCACGTCGTTTCCCAGACGCGTTTTTAACTTAAAGTCATTTATTATTAAGTTAGTGCAGGTGAAACTGGATGTTGGAGTCAGTGTGGGGCCATGCTGGTCGCTTAAGTGAGACATCTTTTTCTGACCAGCAAAGAGACACATTGGTGTATCACGGGTAATGTATTGCCTCTGCTCCCACGCGGAGGCCCAGAGAGCAGAGCTACGCTTGCCAAGCATGAGCAGTGAGTGCTGAGACGGTTATTTCAAGAAAGCACAGTCAGCTCTCCTAAAATAATAAAATAATTCGCTGACCCTGGCAGCTCAGACTCTCCTACAGACACTGCCAACAGCATGGATGGGTCTCTCACATAGCCAAGGAAATTAGGACCCAATGTCTATGATGTAATTTCTGAAGCGATCATCATCCCAGTTAGACTTTCTCCCCTCTCATTTCACCTTTCCTTACAACTCTGCAGAGAAAATGGAGTCAGAGAACGACCCTCCCCATTTCTGAAGCAACCAGGGTCAGGTCTTGCCAGAATGAGGGTGCAGGTTCCCAACCCCCACCCTGCTCGTCCCAAGACCTAACTGAAATTGCCAGGAATTTTGTCAGTGCTAACATCTCCATCTCCGTGTGTCCACCTGTGGAGCTGCTGGTGTATCAAATGCTCCATCACCAGCCAAAGCCAGGCCCAGCATGTGAATTCCCACACGGCTGATGAGACAGGGAGTACCTTGCTGACTTTTCTTCATTCTTCCCGTGTGCCTGGTGGCCCCTTCTTGGGGTACCTTACTGACCCCACCTATCTTTCCAGGGAAAATTAAGGGCCTTTTTTATATGTTCTTATAAAGTTCCTTGCACTAGTCTATTATTCTCCTTATAAAGACCTACCAATGGGTCTGCATTTCTCACTAGATTAAAAATTCCTTGGAGACAGGTATGGTATTTTAGTCATCTTTACCTGAAGTAGTTGGCTAGGTATCTGCACTCTACTAGGTAATTAACACATGCTAGTGAGTGAATGAGTATGTGCATTAGATCAGTTTCTTCATTGTTCCATCAGACCCTGAACACCTGCTCACCTGAGCACCTACACATATCCCAGCCTCCTTTACTTCCTTCTAGGTATCCACCCCTCATCCCTTGACCTCAGCTATGTGGCAGGTCTTGATGGAACTAGATAGCCCAAGATAGGGCCACCATTATGAGGGGAGGAGTGTCACAGTGTATTGGCTCCTGCTGCTGCTGCTCCCCATTTTTTAGCAAGTAAATGGCAGGTGCACCAGAGAACCCCACAAATCAGACCCCCAGTCATTCCCATCAGAGGCCACCTGAGTCACTACAATAATTCCTCAAGTCCCAGTTTTGTTTGGTCTAAATTTCATATGGAATGATGTCAATGGACATATACGACTGCTTTAGAATGTTCCAGATCAGCCTTTACTAGGGTTTCCCTTAATATGTATCAGCTATTTGCAGAATTCAATTCATCTACACTTTCTGTTGCTTGAAAGAATTAAGTGCATAATCAGAATGCGGATTCTTTTGCAGACTTTACCTGGAGATCCCGAAGTGTTGTCTCGTGAGAGTGGGCGTCTCCTTCCAGAACTGAGTACCGGTCAAGTTTTTCTTGTTCTTGCCCCAACCAAACTTCAAATGCCTGTAGATCTCTCTGATACTCCTGGTGCAGCCGAACTAGTCTTTCAGACTTGGTTACTGCTTCCTATTGTTGATTGATAAGATTAAGATATGAATATTTTACAGAATGTAATGTAAGAATTCACTCTTGCAATTTTTGAAAAGCACAATCATTAAACCATTGCAGTATAAATGACTTTCTTCTTTTTTTTTTTTAATATTTCCTAATTGCATAGAAGAACTGTGGTATAAGCTAGAAGGGTGGTGAGGTGAGAGGATTCATCAGAGACAGAGTAGGGAGCAGAACAGGTGGACCTACTGAAACACACTGCTGAGGGGGCAGCTGGGAGACAGGAGAGGTCTGCTGTGCCATGTGGGTCAGCTCCTCAGCCGGGGATTAAACTCATACTTTAGTGGCTGGCAACAGCTTGACAATTTACAGTGTTGTCTTTAACCCTTGCACCACCAGGAAGGCCCAATATAAATTATTTCTAGCAGAACAAAGCTTCAAGATGTACGCAAGATATATAAACACATAATATCAAGGTTAAAAGGGGTATTAAAGATCACTTTGCTGAATTCACTACCTGACCTCTGGGTTCCTTATCAAGTATAACATGAGCAGAGCAAAAAAATCAGATTAACTTGTCATAAAATACACTTTTTCTGGCCCTCTCTGGTAGCACAATGAGTTAGGACGCAGCATTGCAAGCTAGCTGCAGCCGCTTCAGCTAGTGGGTTCAATCCCCGGCCCCGAGGTGATCCACATGGCGCGGCAGACCTCTCCTGTCTTGCCCGCTGCTCCCCTCAGCAGTGTACTTCATCGATCTGCCTGTTCTGCTCCCCACTCTGTCTCTGGTGAATCTTCTCACCACCCTGCAACTCTGGTCTGTACCCCATTTCTATATGTATAAATAAATAAATCTTTTTAAAAATACGCTTTTGCTAATGAAGAAAACTGAAATTTTTCTACAGTGACTTAAGTGAGGATTAGAACTCACTGTCAATTTTATTTTCCAGGTACTCTGTCCAGTAAAGTAGGATACACTCTAAAAAGTAATTTGTGTTTTCTTGTGAAGCTTCAGTAGACAATGATAAACATTATTAGTGACTATTTTCTACTTTAGGAAACACTTGGCACCAACCTACAATGAGGCATTTATAAGTCCACATGACCAAGCTGTCCAAACTTTTCAAGCTGGTAAATACCTAGAAATTTTTGATGGGCAATTATTCCCCTTCAGTAACTTTCATATCCAAACACTTTGAGGTTTTTTATTTGATTTTGCTGTAATTCCTTTTGCAGCGTTTGCTTTTCTGCTTTCACAAGTCTGTCACTCCCCCAAATAATGGGTCTTTAAACAAGCGCAAGGCAGACAGCCCTATGCAGAGGTAGCGCATGGCTGTAATACCTTGGCCCGTTCCTTGATCGCCTGGTAGCGCTCTTGAAGATCCTGGAATTCCAGCTGGGTGACATAGTGTTCTGTCATGCCAGCCCCTTTGACTTCTATGGTCTCCAGCAAGCTGCTGTGGCTCAGCACCTCTTCAATTAATAGCTGGAGAACACAAAGAAAGAAACCGATAAAGAAGTTATCGACACGCGACACAGCGTCATAGCAACGGTGCTCCAGAAATGAAGAAACGTTCACTGTACAATGAGAGGCTCAGATTATTTTCCTTCCCACCTTCCTTCACCCCTTCTTTCATGCCTCCGTCCTTCTCTCTTCTTTCTTTATCTCTCTTTCTACATGGCCTCTATCAATATCTGTCCATTCTGTGTATGTATCTCTACCTACCTGAAACTGTGTATTTATGCTCGTGTGTTGATTATCTGACCCAGAACTTTCTCTGAGATGCCGATTTCCATTGTCATGACTATCCCAGACGGGCTCCTAACTTCTATTCCATTACTATTCTTCTCCAGCCCCCTGCAAGTGCCCTTCTCTGCCAACCTTCTTTCAAACAGTAATTGTCACCTGTTTCCTGACAGATGGTTAGTTCAGATCTCTGGGACTTATTTGTCATCCTCTGACCACCGTGGAATCACATTAGCCCTGTCTCTTCATTACATTCTGCCATGTGTCCTCCTGTCTCTCGTGAGTGTCCTGACCTATGTTGTTATCCCATTTCTTCTGGTATCTGGTTAGACATACCAATTCTTGCACACTCCTTTTTATACTCCCTCTTATACTGCACTTAACAGCTCAAGTTCTGAAAGGTTTCAGGTTGTAAAAGGAACTCTGTCACTCTCTGTTTTAAAACATTTGCTATTCTGGCCATGTCAGGACCAGTGCAAAAGTCCCCAAAGTTCCAGGATCGCCCATGTGGTCTGACCTGGTCCTCGCCATCTTTGCCAGCCACCACCCCATCATGGACCCTCCCCTTTTATTCTCACTCCAGCAACACCCAGACTGTCCCCTCCCTCCCTGATGGAGCCAGGTTCTTGTCCTCATCAAGGCCTTTGAAAAAGCTATTATTCCATACGGAATGCCCTTCCCTACCTCCTCCCCACAGCAATTTCTCTATCTAAATTTCTTAGGGTGTAGTCTACATTTCTATTGTTTCCGAGAGGCCTTTCCGGTCCCTTTCCCTGACTCTAGCAATCCACATCAGCCCTGTCCAGATAATTGTCTCCACAGTACACCACCTTTCTCCATGGAACTCATCACCAGTTATGATGATTGATCTACTCAAGCACGCATTGACGAATGTGTGTGTCCGTACGACACTTGCCTGCTTTATTTGCCTAGAATCGGGTACAAAGTGTGCAGAGAGCAAGTTTTCATAAATATTGAGATATTCCGCTGTTGAGTAGAAGAGTAATTTAACTAATTAGATCCTTCACCACACAACAGTTCTACAAGTTAGCTTATTGTGATTTATTAATTTGCAGATGAACAAAGGAGACCCAGAATGTTCAGTGTAGCATGGGCCAGAGAAGGCTGCCATTCACTCATTCAAAAAACGTCTGCTCAGTAGAAGCCACGTGCATGAACATAGAGAAAATGATGCGTCTTAATCCACAGAGGAGGGAAGGTAGGTAATCACATCTATTAAAATGAGAGAGGCACAAACAACAGAGAAGGCTTCAAGAAGTCTTTGGTGGTGGTGGTTTCATGGCAAAAATGATGTCTGGAGGTGGTCAGAAAGGTGAGGGGGGCTGCCAGGTTCTGGGGTCTGGGGGGGGCAGTCTGTGAAAGGGGAAGTGACTCTGCAGAGGCTGGGCTCTTGGGAGACTGTGCACGAAAGTAAGCCTCATTGAGGCTGGCACATGTGTGAAACAGGGCAAGAGTGAAGGGAATGAGGATGCACATGGAGATGAACACAACTCTAAGAAACCAGGTGAGGGACACTGGTGAGCCCTGGGCCATGGGAAGTCACACGACTCCTACAGGAAAGTGCGATGCTTGGCTTCTTCTGAAGACAACAGCAAGAACAGTAAAAAGGACAGCGGAGGAGCTGGGGTCAGCTATAATTCGGGAAAGACAGGCTACAGCCAAGAGCCATTTCTGAGATAGGACCAGTAAGACCTAGTGCCTGGGGTGAAGTGAGAGTAAGTAAGAAGGAGCTGGGGAGAAAATGTGGCCAGTGTAGGCCATTCGGTGTGCGGTGAAGCCCCATTGAGAAGGTAAGAGTTGGGAGGATTTGGGGGTTTAGAAGAAAATGACCTGAGGGCATGATAAAGGAGGGGCGAATAAGCCCAGAGTATATTTGAGGTAGAATATGTCACCTTGGAATAGTTAGAGCTATAAGTCAAAAGTCTCTAACATTTTAATATTTGAATACCACTAGCCATTAAAGAGATCGAAGCACATATTTACTGACTTACAATTTCTTTACATGTAATATTGTAAGAAGATGGGCATGTATGAAAATGTAGAAAAGCAGGACTCGAAAAGATTATGCCAACCAGAAAGCACTTTCATGCCTAGTTATGAGCAGGAACAAGACGCTCAAAGATGTGAAATTTTGGAAATTGCCAAATTTAACATGGTATGTCTCATAAAATGTAAGAAAATTTTCACACACTAAAAATAAATAGCCAGCACCAGAGTTTGGTTTAAGAAAATGCTCGACATTGTCTTTAAGCCCAAACTGTAGTTTATCTACGCATCCAGCCGAACACGCAGGGCACCGCTCTCTGAACAGCGTAGCTCTCAAGAGGCCGCTTGGGGAGAAGAGGAGCCTGAGCCCCAGTCCTACCTTGCCTTTCCCCAGAGCTGCCGTCTTCTCCCGCAGCTCAGCATGCTGCCGCTCCGACTCGCTCAGGCTGGTCTCCACCCCGTCCATCCAACTGGAAAACTGCCGAATGTCATCCTGGTAACTGGTCCACTTGGAAAGGGCGCCTTCAAGTTGACTGCAGGGTATTGAACAATGATCAGAAAGGAGCAGCCTCTTGGTCCAGTCTCCACCTGTGTCTGCTCTGCCCACCGCCAGAGGAGCAAGGTGGGAGAAGGCGGGATGCCAGAGCTTACCACATGCAAGGCTGGGTCCCTGCAAGACACAGGCTCAGTGACTCAGGACAGGAAGTCCAGGCTGACAGCTGGGAACGCAGACCTGCTATTAAACCCAGGTCTCAGGAGACCTGGGAGAGACTTGGGAGCAAGCCCAGGACACTCCCTTGAACCAGGCTTTCCTGGACTCCAGCAAAGGGAGAGCACTGAACCCCGGCAGGTGACACAGCCCATTCAGAGGAGAGTGGGGGAGGGGTGACTAGAAGAAGGAAGAAGAACCGAGCAAGAATGAGCACAGCGACTGTTTGCATGAGAGCTAAAAATCAGAGAGGTGGAAAACTCCGGCAACAGCACTGAATTGGCCTCATTATTAAAGCTTGACCATTTGTCGGGTGGGTCAGTTAAGCGCTTCTTTCTCTAGTGTAAAGCCCCATGTTCCGCTCCATCCCTCTGGGGGCCTAATGTTATGGCCAGGATTTGGCTCTGAGACAGCAGACACTCTGTCGTCTGGGCCTGAAGCTGCACAGTGCTGCCCCGAGGCCCACAGGTAGGTAGCTGGACTTCCATGCTGGCTCCATGCCTCTTGACCAAAGGTCATTCTCGGTACCGAGTGTCCTCTCAACTTGAGGACAATGTGAGCAAGAAGGGCCAGGGGTTGTTCTCCTGGGGTGGCCCCCACGCCCCTGCTGCTCCTGGGAACCTCTCTACAACCTGCGGTTGGGTGGGGTTCCACCCCCAACTCCCCACGGCCCTGGCGCTACCACACCCCAAGAAGGAGTCTGATCGCCATTGGCTTATGCCCTTCCTCATCTCTTTCCCCCCATCCTGTGTTTGCTGGGGTTACTTCCCAGTAAGCAGGTTGGCGCTAGCTAATTCAGTGTGTCTTTAGCACGAGGGGATGGGATGTTTATCATCTTTTGACGGCCTAAGCAAGGAACAATGAGAAAAGGAAAGAAGCTGTGCTGTAACATGTTATCTCAATTAAAGGAGGGGGAAAAAAAGAGAAAAGGAGAAGAGAAAGGGGGGAGGGGAGTGGGGAGGGGAAGGTCTCAAGGCAGGCAGACCACAGCGAAAGTCAGTGAGGGGTGTACTGACGTCCTCGTCATGGCTGTCAGCAGTGGGTTTGTAACAGGGTAGTCCCCACAGAAAGTTCCCTGCAGCCCCAAGGGAGGTGGAGCTAGAAAAAGACAGAGAGGACTGAGGGGGAGAAGGCCTGGCTGAGGAGAAGCAGAGAGAGACAGAGAAGGAAGACTGGAGGCAGCACATGGAGCAGAGACGTGTGAAAAAGCGCCCTTGCTTCTTGGCCATGGGCCTGCGCTAGAATGAAGGGAACATGGACGGGTCACTGGAAACAGGCAGAGCCATGGTGAGAGGCCCAGGGGTACGAATCTTTGTCCACCCTGCGCTGGAATTGCAACCCTGAAACTTGTCTCCTGCTCCTGCTGTGGCGGTCTCGGCAGTGAGGCCCAGGGGTGCTCACCATGGCAGCCGTTACCTTGACTCGTTCTTCTCCTTCCAGCCTGGCCTGGCCCCTTCTGCCCTTTCCCTCTGAGCCCCACCAGAAGGTGCCCTGGACTGTGGCAGCTCTGGGGCCCCAGCGGCCCTGCTGTGGGCCAGTCCTCTTCAGCTGGGCATGTACCCATGAGGAGAGGGGTAACAGTGGGTGCTGCTTTGGGATACTATCTTCACTATATTCTTTCCTTTCTCTTGACCACATTCTAATTCTGTTAAAGTTAGTTTCTATTAACGGTCTGAACATGAGTATGTTTTGTCTTGATGCAGCAGATAGCAGAATCTCTTAAGAGTAGGCGGGTTTTGGGGTGCCCTGGTGCCTGTCGTTCTGTCCTTACCTTTTACAGCGAATTCCCGCAGACAGCAAGGACGCCCACATATCTTTCACACACTGCAGCTGCTGCTGAACAGCGGGCACCCCTTCCGCTGAGGTGTTCTGCAGGACACACTCCCCCCTGGTCACCAGCATCTTCATCTGGATCTCCTTCTCCTGCTTCACCGACAAGAGAGCCTGGGGACCAGATGCAGAGTCCGGTCAT